TTGCTTTGTCCCTCACTTGATGGTAGATTTTCAGAAAGGCAAAAGGCAAGCCAACCATGCCATTCTACATTCACGAGTTAATGGTGCATCATTTGCAGACAAATGAACATGGATTATGCCCTTTGTGAGGCTGCCCAGCACAACATGGAAGGCATAACCAGGGCTGTCACCTTCTATGACATCAACTGTCAATACAACAAGCACTTTTGGGTTCAGGTGGATTGAAGCTGATTTCTCAAAATGGTTCTGGAATTGACCATCATTCCTGGAATCAGGTTGTGGCATGTCCATGGACATCAGGACAGCTGCTATGTCCGATATGTGTCAAATTTTATTGAAGGCATTGGTTGGATCAATGGTGAGATCATGGAGACCCTATGGTCGCATCTCAACCTGATTTCCCCTGCTGCTCAGGGAATGTCATCCCCACATCGAAAGGAATGTCTTGATTATCAGATGAATGATTCCAATTTCTGCAAGATGATTTGCATGAAAAGGACTCTTTGCCATAAATACATGCAGGCAAAGAATGGCATCACCGAAAGTGAAAAGGCTTTTGACAGACTTGATGAAGCAGCACCCACAGCTTCAAAGAAAGAATGGTTAGTCAGTGAGAGGATCACTCAGTCCAGCAGAATAAATGATCCTGCAGCGATGGATGTATATCAGATTAATATCAAGAAGGGTAAGTTGACTTTGGCTACATCGAAATCAGAATTAATTGTTGCCCTCAGCACCAAGCAAAAAGGAGATCAAGCTTAGACTGCTGGAGGAGGGTAATGCCCGTAATGCAACACCTGCTTGCAGATCAGTGGCAACATGGATATCAATGGGGTTGGCAATTGAAGAGGCTCAAATTGCATTGGTCATCGAGCTCTGAAGAATTGGAAGAAGAACTACAGAGACACAGAGATTAGACATTGCCCAGCAATGCAATCGTCTCCAAGGCCAGATAGATGGATTCACTCGGTCTGCTCTTACGCATCTGGGAGAGGGATTTGATGCAGACGACGATCCTGATGACTTGAATGTAGACATTCTTGATGATCTCAACAATGACCCAGCAGATTTCACTGACACATCTGATACATGGGCAAACTCCCCCGAGCTCACTGTCATCCCATTGCCATCAAACCTCGGGGTAGATCAAAGCAGACGCTGTATGGCAGAGGATCTGATTCCACTGGAGATGTTGCTTCATAAAGGGCAGGCCAATGATGCCCTTCACAACCTCTGGATTCACTTGTGCAACAAGGCGATCCTGTTCTGAACAACGGTCAGGCAGGCCAAATCGCAAGCCCTGAAAACTCGAGCTTGGTCCCAGGTGACATCAGTGCAGCAGGCAGTGTCCCTCCATACCAGTATATATACAAAGACCCGGGAGCAAGTGATGCAGCTCAAGCCAGGGCAAGACCAGCTTCAGACATACAAACCACTGCTTCAGGAGCAGCTCAAAATCAGCACTGCCGTTGGCAATCCAAATGCCTGAGGTCAGCAGAACAAGTCCCTCACTTGGTTCTGGTCCATCAATGTGGACCTGGGGGGTCCAGATCACTCGTGGAATGAGGAATGTGAGTTTGGGCATGCTTGACATATCCTGTGCTCAGCTGATGGGACCCATCTGAAGTTTACTGAGTTCATTGGCTTCAGGCAAAGGCCCTATGGGATCGATGGAAGGAAGAAATGACATTGGTCCAATTGGAGATGGATTGGACATGCAACTTTTTCTTGTGGAAAGCAACCCAATAGGGCAACAGGATGCAGGAATCATTGGTGAATCACCTTCTGGGTCATTCATGCTACTTGGGAAGGCAATCCCAAATGTATTCATTACTGGCACAGGATGCCCAGGCAGCATTTTAAGACCTGCAGAGCGGGTTCATAGACACTTGAGATGAATGAACTTTTTTGCCAATGATTGTTATGAACTTGGATAGAGCATTGTTCCAATAAAGGAATCAAGGATCAAGGTCGATCAAGGACTTAAGCCTTATCGAGTCAATGCCTCCCGCAGGATCTAGAGTTCAAATGGGACAATGGCTAGCTTCCTTCCCAAGGAACTAGAGTTCAAGTATGAAAGAGAACCAAGTAGATTCAAGTTAGAGAAAATACAAGTGGTAACTAGGGTTTATATACGTAAAGGAATTGTGCACAGACCAAGCTGGGCAAAGGGTATCTTGTACTAGAAATGGAAGGTTCATGGGAAAACAAGATATGAGTCAGAGATAAGAGAGACCATGAGGGAACAGCACAGTGAAAAGGAAGTGTTAGAAGTACAGCCATATAGGAGTCTGCAGTGATGATGGAAAAAAGAGTGGGGCACTGTAACAATGATATGAAACAGCTACTTCAACCCAAACATTTTAGTCTCAGGAAATGCCCGGATGAACAAACATTGGAGTTTGAAAATTTTTATCCATCAACTGGTGGCTCATATCTTCACATCCAAACCAACTGGCATTGTGATTGTGATTTCCAGCGTCATACTCCTGCATTAGCCATGCCTGTATTGCAAACTCCTCCTGCATCCCCTTCTGATGCTGTGGATTCTGGCAATGAATACCGACCCCTCACACTTGGTCTTGCAGATATTGCAGCCACAATGTCAATGGCTGCATCATGCATCTGAGCATCAATCTCCCAATATCAAATGGAGGCTGCCAACACCAAGGAGCCTTCTGCTGCTTGGATCATGCACTTTAAAGCTGGGCTGCAATGGGAGATCACTGTAAGAGACTGATGACTGCAGTGGTCAATGCTGAGATTTCCAACAGACTTTTGTGACACCCATCCTGCAGTACTCAGCTGCAAGGCACATCATCTTGGTCATTCCAAACCCAGTCACCCATATTCTTCAGTTGTTTCCCCAGCTCACCTGGAACACAGTTCTTGACCACATCTTTTCATCCCACTTATGTCTCTTTCATGATGTCGCAGATCCGGGAGATCCCTCCAGGATTATATCTGGCTATGATACTGCATGGTGGATCAGACACACTGCAATCCCAGACAAATTATGGCAATGGGACCAGGTAATGGGTTGCTGTGTCTTTCACTACCAGCATTGGCTAGTAAGAACTATGAACAATTTCCTTGAGTGATGATTAATCTGTTCTAGGGTGGCATTGAGGATGATGGTCTGATTCTTCCTGAGCAGGTGGATAACACCTCGGTTCCATCACTGATGGGACTGAGGTGGCTTAGAGAACGCCTCCAGACATTGGTTGAGGAGCAAGAAGAGGGCATCAGTGAAAAGATGGCAGAGATTGATGTGTACACCAGCATCCTAACCAGATTGAAGAGAGGCAGAGGAGAGTAGTGCTAGTCCTTGAGTTCAGAATGTTGATGTCCAAACTCCATGAAAATGACATACAGTCTTCCAAATATCTAACCTAACATTATGTGCCAAGTCCTGAATACTGAATATTGAGTATTGAGTACAGACAATCATATATCATGTTGTGAATGTGGACTCCTGAATATCGAGACCCGAATGGTGAATATTGAGTATTGAGTATTGAGATTCAGATATTGAGACCCGACTATCAAATATCAAGTCCCCAATACCAAGTCCCAAATATCAAGTACAGAGTTCACAATACTGAGTCCTGAACATGGACTACCAAATCTCAAGACCTGACCATTGAATATCGAGTTCCGAATATCAAGTCCCAAATACCAAATACCAAATACTGAATACCAAATACTGAGTCCCTAATATTGTCATATCTGCATATCCAGATCTCAGATCCAATCCACATCTTATCTCCCTCCAACATCTCGTCATCCATTCTGTCCACTCGTCCGGTCCAGTCCACAATTCATCCGAATCCACAACCAGCGCTTGTCTCTTTTCAGTAATCCCCTAACTCTGGTATTTTGGTTATCTGTATATCTGTCCTGTTCCCTGATCTATTACCTATGCTTCATTTCCATTTCATTATTTGTGATCTGTTTCTACTTACCAATAGACCATCCATATGCTTTGTACATGGCCTTGGACTCTGCTGGTTGATCATTCCATTAGATACCTATATTATATAACCTCCTGTAACTCTCTGTAGTACCTCAGTTTGAATTTCAACTTAGTTCTGCTCATTCCCATCCTCCGGACCTGAGTATCTCTACTCTCATCACCCTCCGAGACTTAGGATTGATTCCTATAGTCTATCCGCATCCGCCTCTGTCTACAACAGTCCATTACCATTAGTTTCTAGTCTGGACTCATCCGGATTAGCCCTACAATACCTATCCCGCATCTGGAAGTCATCCAGATCTGCTACACTACTTGTCTGACCTTCCAGACACATCAGTCTTGCCCTCCTGAAATAAGGGGCAATACTTGGGTAAGGGGCACAGTGCATGAGCTGAGGCTGAAGCCCTTTGGATCCAGTTATCCCTTGAGTACGACCTTAACAAATATCGCGATAGTGGACATTCGGAACTCAATATTCAGAATTCAACATTCCATAGTCGGGTCTCAAATATCAACACCCAAATACCAAATACCAAATGCCAAGTCCCTAATATTGAATGCAGAGTCCCTAATATCAACACCTGAATACCAAATACCAAATACCGAGTTGGATTTTGATATTCAATACTTGCTAGTCGGGACTCGGTATTTGGTATTCAGTATTTGGTATTTGGTATTTGGTATTCAGGGGTCGATATGAGGGACTTGCTAGTTGGGACTCAGTAGTTGGTATTTGGTATTTGGTATTTGGGACTCCATATGAGGGACTCAATATTTGATATTAGGGACTTGGTATTTGGTATTTGGTATTTGGGTGTTGATATTTGAGACCCGACTATGGAATGTCGAATTCTGAATATCAAGTTCCAAATGTCCACTATCAAGTATCGAGTATTGAATATTGACCATCAAGTCTTGAGTTCTGGATATCGAGGCCCAAATATTCCAGATCCTGATATCTAATATCTGGTATTTGACAGTATGTGCTAACATGGGTAACTACACTTTCCACTTGTTTCATCTTTCACTGTTTGTAATCCACCCTAGCCCATCCACATGATGGAACCCTGGCATAAACATGAACAGAATCCCTCATATACCATGCCCAAGCAATCCAATCCCCTTCCACTGCATGAACCCCATGTCTCACAATCCTTCCAGAAAATGCAATCATGCAACCCAGATCATACCTGAACTCCAGCTGAAGGCTTGGCATGCTCATCCAAGCATTAGAATAATTCCCCACAGTAGTGAGAATGTTGAAGCATTCAGGAATAGATAAATGGTCTCGATGATTGGGGGTTTCCCGATTGGAAATGACAGACAGGCTGTTAAACATGGATGCCCAGTACTGGAGAGTCTCTGACATCTTCAGCAGTTCCTTGCTTTCTGCCTTTTCTTTGAGGCTCGAAAAGGCTCGCAAACCTGCCCAGTACTGCTCAGGATGCATCACCCTGAGTGCCGCTGTTGCAATGGCTGCTGGCCTCACAATCACTTTGAGGATCTTCTTGGAGGATGCCCCCTTCAATGATGCAGATACCTCCGGATCCGACTGATTCTAGGGGATTCATGAGTTTGACTACCAAAATTGCCATCGCATCAGATCCTACCTTGTGCCCCTGTTGAAACCATGCTGGAGACAAATTGATGCATCCGGGAGTTAAGACATCATTTTCCGAGCTTGGTTTGAACCACTCTTGATTAGTTCACCAATTGCCATCAAGCTTGATGCTTTTTTCAACAATTGGAGCGAGCAAATCAGAGGCCGCCCAAATTTCCTTCTGTGGGCACCATTTGATGTTTAATATCCATTGAGTAACAATATATATTGCACACCTGGGTGGCATTGGTCAGGGCGTCTGGGACATACCATGCAATGATGGCACCGGATGCATCAAGAATTGTGGTGGGTATCTCCACCAACTTTGTGCCCTCATGGCCAGGAGGACACCTCTCAAGCAACTTCTCCTCTCTCTCTTCATTATGCCTGGTGTCCTTTGGGGAGATCACTTTGCTGTATCTTGCAACATTGATCTGCATCTGAACTGTGATGAAGCAATTTGACTGATAAAACCAAATTTTCTGAATCCACAGGAAGACCCACTGGGATTTTTATATGCCTTTATCAGGTGATCAACCAATTGATCGCAAGCCATCACCAGATCAGTGTCTAGGTTCTGAGAAGGTATAACTGGGTCTCCTCCTGTCTTCTCTGCATTGAATTTCTGTTCAGTATATTCACATGCCTCATGAGTGACAGTCAGGGCCCAAGTGTGCCAGAGGGTTATTTCAATATCGGAAGTGGAAGAAACAGTCATGATGGAATTGATCTTGGGAAATCGGATGCTGAACCCTGCATGTCCACACTTTGGAGTTAAATGGGGTGGAGATAGTGAGGATCAGATAAGGCAGCCTCACATGATGTTATTTTCCAAAGATGTGTTATCGTCCATTGCTCAATGAAATACCAGATGATTGGAAGTGTGCTGGATATCAGATCTTTGTTTATTGAGACCCAGGCCTCAGATCTCAGTACCCTTCACTCAATGTTTGGTAGTCAGAACTTGGCTTCTTGTAGGGCAATGCATGCCGTGTGCATTAGCTACTTGGTAGTCAGTGCTGCATGTTCACATCTCTACTGGGTGCTTGATTTTCTGGCACTTGTGACCTTCATCATTAGATGACTTTGAATTATTACCTCCTTTGATTTGGATGATATACAACTACCTACAAAACTCATACATTTTTATGACTTTTGAGTTTCAGGTTTCAATGTTCAGGGTTCAATGTGTGGGCTTTGGGACTCAGTACTCGGTGATTTGAGTTTTGAAATTTGTTTCAATGTTTGAGTTTCAAGTTTCAAGTTTCAGGTTTCGGGTGTCAGGTTTCGGGTGTCAGGTTTATGTTTATGTGTGATAACAACTACCTAGCCCCACCCGTCGATATAATATATACAGTGGCTCAAAAAACTGTCCACATGTTTTTGCATTTTTTACTATTTACAATATTGTGTGAGAATACATAAAGACCTCAGTGACATGCTGATACCATATTGTAGTGCTGCTTCAGGGCTTTGGATTGAGCACCACATCATGAGAATCAGAGGAGATATGGTGGAGATACAAGGCTTACAAAATCATGACTCATGCAGACAGTTTTTTGAGCACATATTAAAACTATATAAATCATCATTTATGACACCATAACAATCATGACACCATTAAATAAATTATAAAGTGGTGTCATTATGTCATTTTAAAACCATATCTAACTATACAAACCAAAAATTTCCATATGTCATGGTTATATTCACCATGAAAGCCACCCCCCCTGCTCAAAGGGATAATATCCTCTCTCTTTCCTATTCTGGCCTCTCTGCTTGTCAAATTTCCTCTAGAACTGGAGTATCCAAGTCCACTGTGGCCAAGTTCATCAAAGAAAGTCACACAGACAAGGAAAACTTCTGTGAAGGGCATCCATCCAAGCTCACCTCTACTGATAGGAGGGCTATTATTCAACATATCACTACAGGAAAGGCTGATAATGCTGTCCAGGTTACCTATTACATCAATTCCACCACCACATTCCCTGTCTCTTCACACACTGTGAGAAACATTCTCAAGACAGCTCATCTCAGGTCAGTAACAAGGAAGAAAAGGCTCTCCTCTCTATCACACATAAACAGAGATGACTAACCTTTGCCTTAGCCCATCAGAATTGGATTACATGAACTGGAAGCATGTTATATGATCATATAAGACCACAATAAATAGGATTGGGTCAGATGGCAAGGTATGTATGTGAAAAAAGAAGGGTGCTAGTCATCTCTGTTTATGTGTGATAGAGAGGAGAGCCTTTTCTTCCTTGTTACTGACCTGAGATGAGCTGTCTTGAGAATGTTTCTCACAGTGTGTGAAGAGACAGGGAATGTGGTGGTGGAATTGATGTAATAGGTAACCTGGACAGCATTATCAGCCTTTCCTGTAGTGATATGTTGAATAATAGCCCTCCTATCAGTAGAGGTGAGCTTGGATGGATGCCCTTCACAGAAGTTTTCCTTGTCTGTGTGACTTTCTTTGATGAACTTGGCCACAGTGGACTTGGATACTCCAGTTCTAGAGGAAATTTGACAAGCAGAGAGGCCAGAATAGGAAAGAGAGAGGATATTATCCCTTTGAGCAGGGGGGGTGGCTTTCATGGTGAATATAACCATGACATATGGAAATTTTTGGTTTGTATAGTTAGATATGGTTTTAAAATGACATAATGACACCACTTTATAATTTATTTAATGGTGTCATGATTGTTATGGTGTCATAAATGATGATTTATATAGTTTTAATATGTGCTCAAAAAACTGTCTGCATGAGTCATGATTTTGTAAGCCTTGTATCTCCACCATATCTCCTCTGATTCTCATGATGTGGTGCTCAATCCAAAGCCCTGAAGCAGCACTACAATATGGTATCAGCATGTCACTGAGGTCTTTATGTATTCTCACACAATATTGTAAATAGTAAAAAATGCAAAAACATGTGGACAGTTTTTTGAGCCACTGTATCACTACCTCAGCCTATATGTCCATACATCCATATAGTATACAAATACCTTGGCCCTTACATCTATGGACCATCTTCTGAGGTATCGCTGGATTCCAAGTCAATGGGGCACTTGGCTGAGTTGACATTGATCGACATTGACAGGATCTGAGTCTGAATGTCATTGATGACTAGGATCAAAACTAGTGCAACAGCATTGCTCATATGTCCATATAGTATACCAATACCTCAGCCCATACATCTAAATGATATGTATCTGGGCCCACCCAGTCTATATGACATCCCCCTATGTTGGCCCACCCATCTATGTAATATACCCTACATCGGCCCACCCATCTATATAATACATATTTTCACTGCCCTATCGGCCTACCCATCTATCTCATATACCCCCACCTCGGCCCACCCATATATATAATAAGTATTTCACTGCCCCATCAACCTACCCATCTATCCAATATACCCCCACCTCAGCCCACCCATATATATAATAAGTATTTCACCACCCCATCGGCCCACCCATCTATATAATAATATCTGCCATACATCTCTCTTCAGCCCAGCTGTCTATCATCTATGTCTATCCTACTCTACATATTGCCCAGATGGGCCCACCCATCTCCATCGGTAATAATATTTCTCCTGGCCCATCTGCCATTGTCAAGGATTTATAACATGGGCATAGATGGGCCCACCCATCCCCATTGGAAATAATATCCCTCCTGGCCCATCATCATAGTTGGGGATATTTTTACCTTCGGCCCATGGTCCGCTGGCCTGTATTATACAGGATATTATGCACATCTGTTCACTCATATAATATAGAGATAGGTCACTGCAATATGTGCGCCGTTACCATTGCTAGATGATCTATTCTTTTTATCGCTGATGCATCCTTCCTTATCTCTGACTCATCATTGATCCCACACTTGCCCTAAACCACCTACATTCACTATATATAGTTAACAATGTATCTTGTAGTACTTCACTTTAATCTTACTAGGTTTTACCTGAAACATCCTTCACTTGAGACCTCCAATCTCTTGTCGTCTGAACTGTACTTTAAGATAGAAGCACTCCTTCTGTCTTATGTTGGAAATTTCTGAATTTCATTTTAATGCGTTGTAATGCATTCTAATGCTGCAATGACAACACACCTGTGGCAATGGGAATGCAATGTAAGCCCCATTTTGAAATGCTGACAGGTGCCGGTGGCAATGTGGTGCCAACTGCAGCCAATGCTAATGCCAATGCCCATTGCCATGTCTATTGTAACATTAAATTTTATATTATTATAATGGCATTAAAATAAAGTTACAGTCTGTGGGAATCACATTTATGTACCCTGGCTAGCCATTGTCATTATCCTATTATGATCTCCCATCTATTATTATCTACTATCTACTATGTACCAACTATCTATGTATTTACTATCTAATCATTTATCTACTATCTATTACTATCTACTGACTATCTATATATTTACTATAGTCTGGATCTATTACATTACTAATACTTATTTTATTACTTGCACTTAGGTTGATTCAAACTAGGGACTTAGACTATATACTCTATAGTAACATTAGATATGGTCAGTAAACAAAACCATTAGACTACCAGGGCTTTCTTATAAGGGAACCCCAACTCTATTAGAGGACCACTCTACAGCCATATTAAGTATAATACTTCAAACTTCGAAGACATTGGGAGTGAAACCAGTGAGCATAATAGGTAGTCAAGCCTAAGTAATACTATGTGTGAGCATTGCAGATAGTATGGGTAGTGTTAGATACAGTATGTCTGGCTGCTCTGCCTCCTCGATGGCCTCTGGCAGGTACAACATTACTAACTTCGTCCTCATCAGGCTCTGTAAGAGGACTATTAGGTCTCAATGTGTCCCTGTTAGCCTCAACATCAGCAACCTGTTTCATCCATGATATCCTCTATAACAGGTTCAGGCCATGCAGTGCTTGCCTCGCCTTCGACCACACCTGCCAAGGCATGATCCATAGCTGCTGTGAAATCCTCTTTGTCTAATGTCGAATTAGTCGTTCTTGAACCTTTGGAGAAGATGAAATTATTCAGCTTTTTCACAATGTCGCACATGTATTCTGTGTTCCAGTTCTTGACAAGAATCTTCTTGTATGAGGAGAACATATAGTTGTAGTGAGTCTTCATAGTCTCACCCTTGCCAGAATAGTGAAATTCCTTGTCAGCACTCAGTAGAAAAATAACCTGACAAAATTACATCAGCTGAGACTCTTTCGATACACAAAAAAATGAACAATGACTCCCACCCATGCCAACAAACCGGGTGTTAAAGATGTCACCTCCCACCTATTACCATTGCGTGGAGGTCTGCCTGCTCATAGTAGCAGTCAGGCCACTTTCACCCCACAGCAGTATCCAGATAGCCTGAAAACATGATGGGTAAGATGTTAGATGATAAATGTAAGTTCCAAATTAAGAGATGCAGTCATGTACCTTGCCGAAGATTTCCAAATTACCAAAGACTGTTTTCAACAATGGATCTTCGACCAGATTCGGAAAAAGGATGGACAGGAAGGGCTTGGGCATGCACTGGGATGTAGAGGTACCAAGGAGACACTGAATCTCAGGTATGCTTGCTCGGTTGTAAGCTGTGTCGGTAAAATACTGTTCAGGAAGACCAAAGATAAGCCCAGCTTTGGAGCACAGTTTCTTGATTTCAGATGCACGGCTACTGTTCATCGCATCCTCAAACTTAAGTACCATCAGCCAGAGTTATCAAAATAAAAATGTTGCTTACAATGTTGGCGAAGTGATTATCCCCAACCAGATGGAGGATGTGTGACAGAAGTAGACTGAATAGCTCTGTGATCAAGGCTGACTCTGCTGAGGCCTGTGTTTCATAGTGTGAAGGTTCATTGAGAGGTGGAGTGAAAGTGGGATTAGGATGCTGAAGAAGTTGCCTGTCTGGTGCAAACATTTCATAGCAGGCACCATACTTGTGACCACATAAACAGATTTCTTTGTTAAAGGCCATGTGTTCCTCAGAGACATTCTGACCCTTTTTCTTCTGCTTTGGCTGGTTTGCTTTGAGGATCTTGTTCTCCTCTGTCAACTCCTTATTGAAATCCTTGAGTTCTTGCAACTCAAGCTGCATTTCTCGCAACACCTGAAGTAAAAGTAAACGTTAGAAGACATAAATGACAGTTAGAGGGCTTGCACATACCTGTTCGAGATCGGCAAGGCTTAGCATGTTCAATGGTGGCATTGTGACTGTGGAAATGGCCAGAGCAGCTTGATGAAAGGATGGGCAACGGAAAAGTTGTCATTTGAGGCACTTGAAATAAGGGACTAGGCGGTGCCTTGTGCTGGTGGCAAGGCAATTAGACCCTGGATAGGATAAATCAATCCAAAGATAACAGGTAAAATCATGCACTGACACACTTGCGTGGCACAACCAAGAGCGTATTAAGTATTACCTCACATTGACACCAATAAACAAATGGGAAGAACAACCCCTGCACAGTGAAGATATCGTGTGGAATGGTGGCAAAAAATCATGCCAAGGTATTGAACGCTCCATCACAGAAAGCATCTCTGCATGTTTTGTGACAGTAGCTAAGAAGGTGAGCATGACTGAGAGATAAGGATTGAGAGTCGAACAAGAAAAAGGTGAGGCCTTCTGCATTAGACTGTGAAGAATGAATGAGAGCATTGAAAATGCAAGTTCCAGCGCTAGCTTGAATGACACCAGCAGCTCCGCAGGCATATTTGTGTCTGATGGAACTGGAGATGTTTGTGGGGTGCCTTCATCATCCATGTCCATTCATTTCTCTTCACCATCTTTGTCGCAAAATGCAGGCGTAGGTTGATACTTCTTGGCAACTTTTACAGCGCCAGTGTCACGAGCACCTATGCCACCAATTTTACACAACACACCACTCAGACGACCATATTCAAACATGGCACCAATATTCATGACAGCCATCATGATCCACTCATGTTCCTCAGCTCCCTTGATTTTGATGCGCTCAAGGAAGCAAGCGAGGGTTGGCAGGAAGTTGTCAAGTCGGATGTTAGTGAACAGCATTCCATGTAAAAGAATGAAGAGTTCTGGTGCACAGGCATCAGCTTGCGATCGCCGTGATTGTGCAGTTGACGACCAGATGGGAAGAATGGACTCCCAAGAGCCTGAGAACATGTGGAGGGTGGTCATACTATGGAGAACAACTGATCAGGAAAGACAGAGAAAATTGACAGGAAAACAAACCTCTTCACAAAATGATACACAGCACGTAGTTCCTCATTGTTGACCTCACAACTTAACAAACCAAGATGATGGTGCAACTTGCCTGCACCAGGGGTATCCACAAGGCCTTGAGCATACCATTCTTTTGCGATACTTCACCAGCGCTCCTTCTCTGGCTCAATATCCATAGATGTTTCGGCAGAAGTATCTGCCTCATGAGATGAGGATGAGGAGTGGATAAGGATTGAGAGTTGAGCAAGCAAAAGGTGAGGCCTTCCACACCAGATTGCAAAGAATGAATGAGAGATAAGGATTGAGAGTTGAGTGAGCAAAAGGTGAGGCCTTCTGCACTGGATTGTGAAGAACAAATGAGAGATAAGGATTGAGGGTCGAATGAGCAAAAGGTGAGATGCTGGTTCTTCATTCCAGGCACCAGGAGGGAGACAAGACAAGGCTAGTTCTTCATTCTAGATGACCAGCAGACTTGTGCATCAACTTCATGTGCAAGAACATGTCAGTATTGATTGTGTCAATAACCAGATAATCACCCTGAATGCTATGATCTTCTGCTAGTGCTGCACCATGGATGATCGAGTGAACTGAAAAAATTTGGATGAGATCCTCGGTCTTGCATGAACACACCAGAACTGAAAGTGTTTATCTTTGAGAGAGCATTGTCCAACTGGAGCATCATATGGGTGAACGAGAGCAACTGGATGAGTTTGACCATCCACAACACAGGTGAAAAGCATCAGTAAATGCCCAAATATTACTCTGGCTTGAGTTTGAAGGATGATGCAGTCATATCGAGGGAAGTTGTGAAATAAAGGACTGCATCGAAGATAGTCTACAGTGGTTCACCAGTCCATGATGGACTCATAGTTGACCTTTATGAAGTGATGCTTGATCACCTGCATTCTATAGTTTAGATGTGAATTGGAAAGTAACAGAATAACATACAGTTTCGTCAGGCATGAACTTGATTCATTTTCCACCAGGTAATGGTATTCCATGAGCAGGGAGGGAATCACTCAGAAAGTTTGCAAGCTTGATGCGAAACCGATTGAATGCATTGTCATTTGCATGCAGTTGCTCTAAGGTCGCAAATGTCTGCTCTTTTTGCGCGGCACCCAACTTAATATGCAATGTGGCGTCAGAATCATTGTTGGGGCGTTCATTGTCCTCACTGTCCGAGCACAAAGGGTCATTTTGAGATGTAATGAGGTCATTGTAGTCCTTGATGTCCAAATGAATTGAATGTGCGATGAGGAAGCGATGGTCAAGGTGAAGTACCTGTGTAAGATCAATGAAATACTGTCCAGTTTCATGAACAAATGAGAGTACACACCTGTTCAGCAATGTTTTTGAAGTTCGTCCGCTGAAGATAAATCTGTCTGATTGGGCCATGGCACTTCTCATTTGGTTTGGTGTTGGTGTTATGTGTAGCACCCTTCACTTTGATATTGTCAAACAGGTGGGCATGTGCGTGCCATTTTGGGTACGCCCAATTCTTTCCTGAGTCATCCTTTGTGCTATATTGCTATATAGTTTAGATAATGTCAGTAACACTTTAATGCACAACTCGAACAAGAAACTTACATCCAATAGTTGTGTGAACTCCTTTATGGCCTGACGGCCCACAGCAATAGTTTCTGATGTGTGCACTTCAAGAGTGGCATACATGTCAATGTTGACGTATTCACAGATGCATCGAAGGAGCAGATAAGGGAGTGCATGAGTGGCTCGGTCAATGACATCATGTGCGGAAAATATGATAAGCTACAGAATCATCAGAATCAGTAGTACATGTTAGAGTTGATCAAATGCCTTACTTTAGAAATATCTTCGTACTTTAAGCCGTCAGAAAATGATATGTCCATGACATGATTAAAATGATTGATGTTGTGCCAATGGGGCATTGAGTCAAAGCTGTTAAGTCAATATTTAATACTATATCTGAAGTTGAAAACATACTGTACATCGATTTGAGACTGTGTCTGCCAACCAATTGACTTAACACATTCCTGAAACTGAGTCCAAAGATGGTCAGAAAAATTACCTTCGTTATTTACATGTAAGTGGTCAAATGAGACTGTGGAATGGACATCATGTGTGAGCAATATCCAAAAATGCATTCTAAAATGAATAAATTAGAGTAGGGAATGAAGATACAGCAATAAGGAACTTACATCTATGTCCCAGAGGCCTTGAGACATCAATACCTTCTCTTTGTCTTCTTGTCAAATGAAATTTCGAGCCTCTCTGAGTGTAGCTTGCATAGATGCGCTCATTTGCAATGGATATGATGTAAGCACATTCCCAAGTTCCTCTCTAGGAACTAAGACAGACGGGACAAGGGAATTTGCACTTTGTTCCATGTATCAATGACATGACACATCTGTAGAATAGCCATTAAAAAGCTATAATGATAAAGGCAATACACATACTGTTCCTTGTAGTCAGCTGATAAAATGAGAATAAGTGGATAAAAAAGATGCTTAATACCATCCCAACACTTGACCCAAAAACCTGTTTTTGATAGTGGTGTGAGGGATTTGAGAAGGCACTTAAATGATTTGTGCCACATGACATTCTTGAAATTGACGAACGACTGAGTTCCAGAATACTGTCTATCTTCTTCGACCTGCAAGAGTAATCCATAAACATAGAAGCCAATGATAAATTGAATAAATTCTCATACTGATTGGAAGCCAGCCTACAAGGTGACCACCACTAAAACCTTCACCATTGCATATTCCAACAGGCAAATTTGCACATTGTGCAATGACAGGATAGGCCTTTTGATGACCAAACGAGGACAGTTTTGCCTTGTTAGCATATATAATAAAAGCAAAGGGTTTTCCTTCATCCTTTGGTAAGGATGACTACAAAACATGCATTTACATTGTTAGAACATTCAAATTTAGTAGCACATACATACTTGACTATTCCAGAAGCATTAGCTGTCCATGGCTCATCAAAGAAACATACAAAGTCTCATCCATCAAATTTGTACAACATGTTGAGCATTAAACACGAAGTGCGGACCAAGGCAAGGGTCTTTCAACAAGTCACAGGCCCAATCCCAGAGTGGCCTATACCAAACATCAAAATCATGCTCCTGGTCCCTATGAGGGATCAAAATCACTTCCTTTTTGAACTGTGCTTGAAATTTGATTGTCAATGAGGTATAACAAGTCAGTACTCAGCAAAGACTCACTTTGGTGTGGTGAGAAGATGCTGCATCCCACAGCTTACAGATGCCATCATAATCAGTGACTGAGAATCTTTCGAGAGCACTGTGATGGATGAGACTGATGAGTTCATTTATCTGCAGTTTTGTGAGGTTGGCTTTCAGAACTAATTCAGTGAAGTCAAAGTTGATACAAGAGGTAAACAGTTCCCAGGGAGTAGTATTTTCGCATATGAGCGAGGGAGCAGCAGTGTGGCAGTGAAAATCAGTGAAGTGATCAGTTTTCATAGGGATTCCACTATGTGGATGATATTCCATCCTGATATCATCCTGCTGGAGTGCAGGAGGAAGATCGTATGATAGACCTCCATAATAATATGATGACTGACCTGATTTATTAACAATAAAAATAGGAACATACCTTCAAGTTCATCAGGATGTACATACTCTGCATTGTCAAAAGTAGGTTTGCAAGCAGCAGGACCTGCACAAGAGCCTAGAAATTGTTAAATAAAACACGAATCCATTAAATAATGAATCAAACCTTGTGACGCGCCTGGCCGTTGTGATTGATCCAGGACTGGAGGGCATTGAGGGTTCAGCAGCTTGAGCTGGGCTCAAGCAGCTGCCAAGAGGAGTTATACTCGATGTGAACAAATTATATAAGACTCACCTGCTTGAGCATTCTGTCTCTCGCAATCTTCCTGCATCTGTATAGTGTCCCTCCTGCAGGCTTTTTGGTGAGCTGCAAGTCCACGACTCTTGAATTCCTGGCCACATGTATCGCAAATTGAGGTCATGTTTGGTGGCATGAAAGTGTACAGGACTCAAAAGTAAGTATAGATACAAGAATATGATAGCAATATGGACAGCAACAGACAGCAACATTATTAATGAGATCGATGAAATATCGGCGCATTCCAATGCATTCAAATGGCACGTGCAATCGTGGGAATGATATGTCAATATCAACAGATATTATAATGATTATTGATTATTCTAATGGATTGGAACACCATGTGATATCATGGGACCGACATCTCAATGACAATTGCAATGTCACATCATTGCAATGCTTCTAGGAAATTTCCGACATAGCTTACACTGAACGCTTGACTTATCATCTCATGTAGAATCTCAGCAGAAGTCTTAACTCTTATTGAGTTGTCTGTCATTAGAACTATCCTAGTTTGTAACAGTGCCTAACCAAAAATTTTGTTGTAAGGTCATTGCTCTGCCTAGCTGCTACACTTGCAAGCAAGAATATTTGACCATAAAGGGAATTGCTACTGAGAATGGCCAATGATACTAAAGACCCAAAAGTGCACAGAGCACAGGAACAAGTGCACGGGTATGTAGAGCGTGGGAATGCGGAAGTGCAGTCAATGAGCAGTTGATGTGGAAGTGCAAGATGCTAGGGTAAGGGGTAGGGAAGTCTTAAGGAATGGCACAGGTAGCAAGTGAGGGCAAGGGTATTGATTGCACAGGTAAGGAAAGTCAAGGTAAGGTGTCCAGGTATAAGGTAACCAATAGGGGCTAAAGAGCAGCACTAATGGTGACTGCTCCTAAGTAAAACCTAAGGGAAGGAAATACTATAGAAGGGAAGTAAATACGAAGTAGTCACTCTAGGCACTTTATACTAGCTAAACCCTCTTGGAAACAGAAGGGACAGGACAGACAGGCAGTAGGAATATGTAAAGACATGTAATAAGACTGCAACACTTGTTACAACACACAAGGCAAAGCAAATACGTACCAATGAGGTAGGATGGACAATGGACTGACACAGGACATCTGTAAGGTAATCCAAAGGCATGGGAAATCGACCACAGGTATACACACAGTGCAGGAGTGAATGCATGAGTCCACAGAGTGCAGTGTTCTGCATGATTTGGGAATCATGCAGAACATGTATATGACATATCATCCCACGTTTCCATAGTCTGTTAGCTTAGTCCTCAGACTACACAAAATGTACTTTGAGTACAGACTCAAGTGCAATATTTCACTTTGCATGCTCCAATCATGCAAAAATATGGTGTTGAAGAAAAGTCAAATATGATGAAGAAATCATATATTGACCTAGTCCAAGTTGATAGTTATACAAAAGCTTAGGTTATTGCCTATCTTTTGGCTTATTTACTTTGACTAAAAATAACCAAGGAGAAAAGATAAAAGCCTACCAAAACCCTATCTAAAAAGCCAGTGTTTTGATTTGTTCTGTCTTATGATTTATTCTACTTTATTTTCTTCATATTTTTCTTTCATTTCTTTACCTACTTGATTCTTTGACCTCCCAGAGACTCCACAAAATGTACCTGCAGGGTATGATGTCATGATGATGTCATATAGCTCCACAGAAATTTCTGGAATATTCTGTTGGATACTATGGTGCCATCTATGATGTCATAGTGATGTTATTGGATGCTAGAATGTTCTGCTCCACTTGGCTCCACTTTTGCTCCACTTTGCTCCACAATGAGGTCATTTATGATGCAACTCTGATGTCATTTCTCTCTCCAACCTTATTTCTTGGTACTATACAGTTTCTCCCAACTCATGTATTTAAGGAGAGCTCTTCTCCACCCATAAAAAATAAGAATCTCTTTTATCATTTAAAAGAACCTCCACTTCTTCCACTTTCTCTGACATTGACACTCTTTGTGTTAGCCAGGAAGTGCAGACCAAGTACAATTGGTTTACTTGCTCTGAGATCATTTATTCTTTTCTTGACTGTACCTGTGCTGTCTAGTGTGCATCTGACATATAGTTTCAGAGGACTAGAAGTACCAAGTCAAGCCATATTATCTGTGCCTGCAGATTCCTTTGTTGGATTATCTGCTCTTCTATCATATCATCTTCCTTGGATTAAACCCTTTGCATTTAGGCAGGAAAATCCAATCAGCTTCTACCTAGTTCCCTTTGATAAGTCCTTTAGTATATCAAGGCAGGGGAATATCTAGCATTATTTGCCACCTAGTTTTGTGCTTAGTATGCACCTATTCTTTATTTTCTGTCTAGTCAAGTATAGGACTAGAGAGACTCACCCACAAACTCTATTCTCTATCTAGTCAAACATAGGACTAGAGAGACTTACCTACAAAATCTATTCTATTTTGTCTAGTCAAACACAAGACTAGATAAAGTTCTACCTACATACTCTACATTATATGTCTTGCCAGATAAAGCTAGGCTTGTATTGTAGAACCCCTATTTACAACCAGGTAGAATAAAACCACCAGGCTGTATAGCAGGTAACCTCCCACAAACACTGCATTATCTACCATGAAAGAAGAAAAGTCATAGACCGTGAACTTGAGGTTGTTGGCAGCATTCAGTCTTATCAAAAGTGTAATTGTGGTGTCATTGCCTTTTGACCACTTTTATATAAGACACCTCAAGTAAGAAGACAGTGGGAATGCGCATCTGGAGTGAGTTGAGTGCAGGAAAAGCAGTCAATGCAGAGTGGTCGTGTACTGATGCACCTAAAACACTTTACCAGATGAACTGACAGTGTGCAAGGCATGGGAAATGTGTGGGTTAAGGTGCAGGAACATGAATAGCAATGCATGGTGTGTGTGGGCATCATGGGAAAGTGCAGCCTAAGGAGTGGACAATGGTTTTGTAGCTGAAACTAAGGAAGGCCACATATAGGGAAGTGATGAATGATATGAGGGCTACCTTTCCATCACCTATGTCAAAAGATGGCCATTGCAAGCCTAGTGGGAATATAATCATCACAGCGCACTTTGGGATACAATGTCATCTTTCTGCATATCACAACCTTGATGACCTTTGAAACAAAATATGAGCACCCAGTCTGTTGTTAACAAGTAAACCTCACCTTTGCAATGACTATCCAGTTTTGGAAGATCTTCTTCTCATTTACAACATGGTCAGGGTAAAGTATCAGTGCCTTGAAGATATCATACACTTTGCCCTTGCCTACTTCCCATCTGATCAAGTCTGTGACCTGTGGGAGGGAAGTACAGTCATATTTTGAAATGAAAAATTCATTGGGCATGTTGAAGATGCCACCTGTGACAGAATGCAGGCTGTTTAGAAACAAAGAGTGAGCTTGCTGCATTCTGCTCCCAAACTAATTGAGGTTTTAGTTATATTCATATTAATGGCTTGAGGAAGAAAAGGCTATGCACCTGGTTGAAGAACATATTTGTTTGCATCCTAGCATGCAATGTGTAGTTGATGGATGCGTAAAGTTCAGCAACAAGTGCAGCCTTTTCTGTAGACTTTTTTGCATAACAAGTCGGACTTGAGAAGTCAACTGGAGGGTCAGGACAGTCTGTTTCAAAAACAACTTTGTCTGGGAGAAACATCTCCATAGTTAATGCATACTTCTTTGCCAAGCCCAAGATAAACTTGTCAACATCACTGGTCTTCAATGAATCAGGAGTTGTAACAGAGGTTGCAGTGGATTCAGATGGAGATGGAATTGCAGATGTTGCAGATGCCAATTGCGACACTGATGGTACCCTATTAGACAACAATGCTGGAGCGTGCTGTGACGATCATGTTCAGGCTAGCCTGGTATGACCCTATTCTGCAATCCCCATCCAGTCTGCACATCTCCTACCCATCTCCAACACTTTCCTGCCATTTCTGCATCTCCAATGCATCAGACCTGCTCAGAGATCCTGTGCACTTGTCCTACCATGTCATGTCCAGTCACGCTTATCCCCACTGGTGCATAGTCAGTTATTCCTCATTACTGATTGAGTAGACAGCATTATTACATGGATTCCCACTGGCCACAGTAACTCATGGCCTTTTACCTACATATTATCAGACCCATGTTTTTGCTACTACTTTCGCCTATGGACTCCAGCCTTTCATGTAGTTAGTTATATAGGGTTGGGTGACCAAAATTACAATTACCACTTAGTAGGAGGGAGAAATCCCTGATACTGGTCACCCCATACCTGTCCTTTGAGTTACCCCTTTGCCAATATACCTGTTGACCTGCTCCCCTTGACCCAACATTATTGTCACTCATTCCCTTGATGTTCCTTAACATCTCCAAGCTAGTCCTGATGCTTTCCCTTCCTTTCCCTTACTCTCCCACCATCTCTGCATCTCTGCACCTGCGGACCCGATTTCCCACGCATCAGACTTCACCCCACACCTTTGGACTTGACTCCTGACCTTCGGACTTTTGACCCTTTGTGTAGTACTGATTATTGAACTTGACTAGACAGCAGATCCCTTGGGTTGAATGTTCTTGCTTGCAAGTGTAGCAGATAGGCAGGATTAGTAGACATATATTGGCTAGGTATTCTAATGACTATCTAGCCAAGTTGTGTCATCCACAGCACTTGTGAGAATGTTTCAGTTGTTACACAGCAAGAACATTATTGCTCTTGTTCAGAGACATGTTCCGCTGCTGGAGCTGCCCATGCTGAAGCTGAAGATATTTAATATACTAGTAAATCAACGAGTACATTGGAATTGAGAATATATGGTATGAACAAAAGGAAGGGTGTACCTCTTGGTAGTGCTAATAGAAGCACCACCGTTCAGCAGAGCCACAGGCTGTCAGGTGCCTTCATCTGCTGAGTCTGAGCCTGAATCAGGACTGAAGGATATTGAATTTGAATCAGAGTCAGACATTGATGATGGAACAGGAAGAAAGTGTTTGCTCAGCTAGATTGAGTACTGAGAGTGGGTCACAGGGCATTGGGTCAAAGTCATCTCACAGTTGATGCCATTTTATGCAGCTGTGAAGTCTGAATCTGAATTGAGTATCATAATGCAGTGGCCCTTGTCATCTTCATAAGTATTAACCAAGGTGAAAATGACTCAAAGTGACCTCAATATCATCATACACATGGTTTGATATCAGTGCTTATTAGCTCATTGAAAGTTGTTGAGGCCATGAGGCTATTACTGAACAAGTGAATTTGAATGGCAATTTAAATGTGGTGAAGACATACATAATCATGGCAGCATTGCACAGCTCAATGTGTGATGATACATGTTGCAAGTCTACATATTAACATGCAGATGGATCAAGTATTACAATTTAGAAGGTAGATTCAGGTCACTTACATCTGTAAAATGGTGAATGTTTGACAAGTGGTTTTCAATGATTATCAAGCATAGCACCCAATGGGTACACTCCTGATTCTAGTTGGTGAGATTCCACACAACATCCTTCAATGAGAACTGTTTGCCACCCATCATCCTAATCTTGGGCAAGATACAGTGTTACAAACTAGGATAGTTCTAACGACAGACGACTTGATAAGAGTCAGGACCTCTGCCGAGATTCTATGCAAGACGATAAGTCAAGCATTCAGTGTAAGCTAAGACAGAAGGAGTGCTTCTATCTTAAAGTACAGTTCAGATGACAAGAGATTGGAGGTCTCAAGTGAAGGAAGTTTCAGGTAAAACCTAGTAAGATTAAAGTAAAGAACTAAAGTGTACAGGAGGACTATTTATAGTGAACTACTGTGCTTTAGGGCAGGTGTGAGAATGGAATGAGTCAGAGATAAGGGATGTGTAAGCAATAGCAAAAATAGGTCATCTAGCAATGGCAACAGTGATTGTGATGTAATACAAGGTGTGAGTAAGGGATAAGTCTAGCAGCGGCATCATGCGGCTCATGATGTAATACACAGTTTAAGAAAGGGAAAATGAATAGAGGCATATGTGGTTGTAACATACAGACCTTAAGCCGCACATCAAGAACAACAACTGTGGGTTGTCCTTCAAGTAAATGCTGACAAAGGTGTCCTCCTATGATGGTGAGTGAGCATGGCAGGCTGTTCTTAACATTCCAGAAGACTGCTCTTCTGAGGTTGACATCATGCTTGTTGTTGTACCCAATGATATTGTTGTTGTTCAGGTCAGAATTGGCACTTAAATAGCATTGGATCAGGTCCCTCACCACATCAGTGCTGAAGTGGAAGAGGATGTGCAAGCAATCAATGTAACGGGAGTACAAGTGGATGGGGTGATGAGTCTCTGTCGCCAAGTTGTGGTACTGCAAGAAGTTGTTAGGCATCTGTGGAGGACCTGCCATTTCACTAGCTCACTGCAAGCCAAGAATGAGGAGATCAAGGATGAGACCATAGTACTGGAGGATGAAGGCAGAGAACTGAAGGCTGTGGATGAGATCAAATGTATTTGTGTGTGCCATGTCATTGTAGGTCAACACCATGTTGTTCTTCACAGTGATGTAGTCTGCCAAGTTGTGATCAAGAATGAGATGGAGGAGATGGTTCAGCAGGGTCAGGTTGATCTTCTCATACACCTTGGAGAAGATGGTCTCCATCATCACATTGCACTCACCCTCACTCATCTCCCAGATGTCTGTCAAGTTGTTGATGCCCTGGCACCACTTGTACACAAGCAATAGTGGTGGCTCCATGTTGGCAGGTTTGATCCAGGCAGGGAACAACTCTCTTTGATCAGCCTCAAAGAACAGGAATTGATCAAGATACTGTGTAGTATCAATGTTAGCATGACATATAAGGAGTAAATGCTGAAACTTATGGTGTCTGTAATCTTCTCAACAGGCTTGATGTTGTAGCATGGAATGAGTTTGTTGTACATGTCAAAGAACTCAATGCCAGCCTCCTTGAACGCACACTGGGTGAGAAGCAGTTGCTTGATGCACAACAGACATTCATGTGGATTGTCATATGCCTGCTCAATGAGGGCAAGCTCTTCATGCTGCAACTGGTTAAGGCGACCCTTGACTGAGTAAGCCTCCTTCAACTTTTCAAGTGCAAGTACAAGCAGCTTCATGTTGTTCTTGTATGACAGAGGACTAGAGAAAATGGTGAGTTCATAACATGCAGAATATGGGTGGCTCACTCACAGGAATGGGATAGAAGCAAATTTGCAGCTCGCTAGCCAGTGAACAGTTGCTGTGTAAATTGCGACAGCTTCCTCCACACTGATGTATGGCCCATCCTTCAAGTACCCATGTGGCCTCTCCTGCTCTGCTTTCAAATACAGACAAGTCAGCTGACCCAGGTTTTTCTTCACTACAGCCTTATCAACTGTAGCACCCTGATGGATACGCTCCTGAATATAGTGTGCAACTGAGTACCACCAGTCAGCCTTGCTCTTGATGTACTGTAGGATAATGTTCTCAATCACAGTGGGCATTCCAGGAACTTTCCTTGGGATGTTCACCTTCCAGCAATGCCACGCCTCTGAGAGATGCTGCAGAATTGTCTTTGACTTGTTCTGTTTGATGGACTCAGGCATCATGTCAAGAATGTTGTTGTAGAGAACGAGATTCCTCCAGGCATATATCACCCATATTTCAACTCATGACAACTGGTACAGTGCATAACTTACCCTCTATGACTTTCCCACAAAACACGCCAGAGGCATGACACTTTCCCACACTACACGACGCATTCCTGCGCACGCGCTTAGTGCGCTCTTCCCATGCTCAGTCACACTTTGTTGCACAGCATTTTGGAGCATCCATCCATCATCCATTTTTGTGATGCCCTTGCTGTTGCATTCCTCGAATTGATGCGCAAGGAGGTTACTAAGCTAGTGTTTGAGTAGCAGTATGATGCCTCGCATGAAGAAAAGCCAGACACACCAGCCAGGAGCCCAGAACCCATTTCCAGGACCCTTGCCAACAGGGCCAGTATTAAAGCAGTAGTAGATCAAGTGCTTGAGATCTTTTGTCATGCAAACTTGTCTCATGAGCTGGATGAGTAAAAATCAATAAAAGAAACTTTGCCTATGATAGTAATTCTGCAAACCTTGTGCTTGTACCAGTACATACCAGTCAATGCCCCAATGTGTGCAAAGATATACTGCAGTGTGTCTGCGAGCTGGAAAGCATCAACATTGCCAAGGCAGAACTGAACATGGGCATCAATGACAAGCTTTGTAAGACGCAGAATCTCACAGCACAAGTGGAAGGTGTTTCCAAAGCAAGACTTTTTGCACTCCTTCATAGTAAGCATCTTGACTGGTTTCAAGTTCATGTTATAGTCGAGATGCAAGTAGTTCAAGTTCTGAAAATGAAAATTAGCTTTGATGTACCCCAATGGTCTCTATGAAAGCTTACCTTTCTGTGAATGAGAAGGTTAAGCATGTTATACCCTTGTCTGCACACCTGCAAACCAGCTTCCACCCAGTCAAACTTTGTTGCCTTCAACTGCCGGAAGAGATTCTTTTTAGTCATTGCCTTCTCAGGTTGACTCTTGAGCTCATTGAGGACAAAGCACCTGAGCAACTTCTGGTACAATACATGAACTTTGACTGGCTGGTTGGGAGGACAGTGCTCCAAATACCAGTTCTTCACCAAAGGTATGTCCTGCGCATGATGCATGCAACCAGAGTGCTGATTATAAGGCTCAGATGCCCACCATAAAGCAATACAATCAGCAGTGAGGTCATTTTCGAGAGGCTTATCTTCAAGAAATGGCTGCACATCATCAGCTAACTCAAAGTCATTGTTGGCACCATTCAGACTGAAAATAGAGTCTTCATGAGAGATGAGTGGTGCGTTCTTGGGAGTAGCGCCATGCAGGGAGATAGGATTGACGAGTGGGTTGAAATAGAAGGCAGGTAGGTTGGGATCATCAGTGCAAATATACACATTCTTTGGCACATGATATGGAGAGAGGTGAACAGAGTGTGGGAGGGAGTTATAGAGATGAGAGAAGGCAACCTTGTACTTGGTATGGATTTGTTGATGAATGATGACTTTATTGACATCATTGAACTTATTCCAATCTTCATCAAAAGCATCCATGTCATGGTACAATGGCTTAAACTTTGGCCCTCCAGGAATTGCCAAGTTGAGAGCTTTTGCAGTGAAGAAGGATTTCTTGTTGAAAAGATAGCTTGTGTTGCTATCAGGTTGGTCTGATAATAGGGTTCTCCCAAGATGATATAAATTCACCATAACAGGTAGTGTGAGCTGCCAATAACAATATGAGGGACCATTGACTGCAAGTGTGTCCACCAGTGGCTGTGGGTTGTAAAACCAATCAATAATGGCAGAATCTTCCTCCAAATTGAGCTCCAGCTGAATGGCTTCAAGAGGCTCAACATCCAGTATGTTATCACCATAATCCAAAGGTGGGGTGGAGACCTGGGCAATATTCCATTTTAGGGCAGTCACTACTACTACTAATAGTACAAGTTATTAGACATCTGTAAAGGGCCAACATCAATAAAAGCTTGTTGCAGATGAAGGATGAGGAGACCAGGACATACTAGTAATACTAAGGATGGCCTGCCTCACAATGGTTGAGCAGCTTGAGCCTGGAGAGCTTTGATTCAAAGAAATATGTCACTGTCCACAGTGTGGATGACAAAGTAATCACCAGGTGTTTCAGGATTGCTAGTGAGAGCAGCTCCCCAAATGATTGACCAGACAGAAATGATCTCAGAGGATAATTGAGGTTTGGCCCACACATGCCACAGTCCAAGCTCATTGTCTCACCTTTGACAACTACTAGGAATACTAACATCATAAGGATGAATAAGGGCAAGAGGGAAATCAGTGCCACCAATCGAGTAGCTGAACATATACATGAAGTGAGTGAAAAACGGCTTGTCTGAAGTATCCACCAAGACACAGTTGTACCTCAGTGTAGGCACCAGCCAACTATTGATTCATAATGAATCTGCAAAAACCAAAACTCTGTTACCTGATAAAAATGTATCAGTATTATCAATTGGGTTGAAGCAAATTAGCATACCATGTCCTCCACACACAGGTGAATGCACCTTCCATCTTGTAATGGAATATCATTTTGTGGTAGAAAAACATTCAGGAAGCTGTTAAGCTTTGTCCAAAAGTTGGTGAAGGCCCTATCAGTTCTGTGCAAGTGCATGATATCGGAAAAGGAGTGATTGCCTTGCCTCAAACCTAAATGTGCATGGACAGTAGTAGATTTGGGGTTTCCAGTATCATCCAGGGCTTCATTGGTCTCAGGGTCATGAGAGTCTTGATTGTACTCGTCAAGTTCATCAAGTTCAGTGCACATGGACATCAAGGTCAGAAGCCATTCATCATAGTGCAGGATCTGCAACAATAAAGCTATTATTAGGCTGAATCTGCATGACAATATAGTTAGAAGTGACTCATTTGAGAAGCAATGTTCTTGAAATTTGTGCATTGAAGGTAGATTTTTCAAAAAGAGCCATGCATCTTTTCATTGGACTTGGTACTATAGTTGTGGGTCATGCCTTGAGCCAAAATATCATTGAATACATGCGAGATTAAATGCTTCTTTGGAAAGTTCCAATTTTTCGATGTTTTGGGCTGTGATTCAGTGATGTATTCCTAGTAAAATGTTAGAAAATCATCATCTGAACAAATAGCAACTTGCATCCATAATTTCTGAGAACTTTTGCAGTACCAATCTTCCAGCTGCAATCATATCTTCCATGTGGACTTTGAATGAGGCATAGATGTCAAACTCAATGTAATAGTGAAGGCAGTGAAGAAGTAAGTATCCCAGTTTACAGTAGGACAAAGAAAGAATATCCTGTGCCACAAAGATAATCGTCTAAGGTTTTTTAGTACCTAAAATTGGTTATGATGTATAGACAAACCTTCAACAGATCCCCAAGAACAGTACCATCAGTGAAATCCACTGCAATGACAGAGGAAAAATGCATCACATTAGGCCATGGTGGAAGTGTGTCAAAACTAAAACAGCAAGTCAGCACTAGCATTAATGTATTATGGTCACAATACATACTTTTTGTTGAGTTTGACAGTGGCTTCCCACCCAAGATCCTCAATCCAAAACTTTACTTCCTTCCACAGATGGTCGCCCCATAATCTTTCCTCATTTATATGCAGGCAGTCGAAAGAAGGAGTGTGATGAATGTTGGTGTGAAGAATTCTTGAGAAGACATTCTTAAATCTGCAAGTTTGTCAGTATTAATAGACATTACAGCAGAAAGGGCATACCTGAACATTTCAGAGTGAGAAAGCCTTCAAGTGATCCTCCTTTTCCTTCTCAGAAGACATTGATCTTGCAGTATGGAGTATGTCTTCAGATTGGCAGCTTGTGTGTAGCTTGTGGGTATGAAGATCAGACTGCTGATCTTGTGGAACAAAACAAACTGGACACAGGAATTTTCCCTTAAGTCCATGTATCAACACCATGACACATCTACAATTTTTATGAGCCTCACAGTAGAGTAGTACTAAAACTAATATTGTGACTTACTGTTCTTCATAATTGGCACTCAAGATCAAAACCAGGGGCCAGAGACAACATTGGATTCCATCTCCACATTCAAACCAATAGCCCATGTTTGAGTGCTTTGCAACCAAGGCAAGAAGCTGGTAAAATGATGTATGCCAGATGGCATTTTTGAAGTCCACATACTTCTTCTTCTTTGTGTGTTCCTGATTCTTGACAATCTAAATCAATACAATTAGTAAACTACTAACTGAATCGGCCTGATGCATCAACAATGGGCAGCCAGCCAACAACATGACCGCCTCCTATGGCAGTATTACTGTTATGAATATGAACCAGCAGGTTGGCAATGCAGGCGATAATCAGATAGCCTTTTTGGCTCCCAAATGATGATAGTTTATTTTTGTCTGCATACAGAATGAACACCAGCAGTTTGGCATCCAGGGAAAGGTGTGACTAAGTTATGAACATTCAGCAGGATATCATTAATTTAAAAGGATAGATAACAAATGAAGCATCAAAACATACTTGTGCATTCCAAAATGCATCAGCAGTCCATAGTTCATCAATGAAATGTACAAACCTTTCTCCATTGAATTTTGAGAGACGTTGAGCATCAAACACAAAGTGAGGTGCAAGACATCTGTCTTGCCATGAGTCAAGTGCCCAATCCCAGAGAGGGCGGTAGTGCATGTCAAATTCATGTGCCTCTTTTTCAAAGGGAACAGATACTTTATCATGCTAAAACTGCACACTAATGATAAGCTTATTATATTGTTGGTAGTACTACATAAGACAGTGCTTACTCTAGTATAATGTTGCAAAGCAAGATCCCAGAGGGAACAAACTTCATCATGATTTTGCAATGTGGATGTATCTTTGCTGCTAGCAGATTGATGCACAAGATTGAGAAGGTGATTGGTCTGATCCTTTGTCATCACAGCTTCAAGAGCAATCTCTGCTATTTTGAAATTGAGTTGTGTGTGGAAGGGTTCCCATGGTGAGTTGTGATGGGGCACATAATCTTTCATTGGGCAGCTGTGGGAGAACTCAGAGACATGACATACAGTGGAAGGGAGGGAGTTGGCTGTGGGGATGATATTCAACTTGGATGTCATCAAGCTCATGAGTGGTTGGGACCAGGATCAGGCTCATAGAAGTTGGGTAATGTTGCATCATGGTCCATTGGTGGGTACCATCAAGGCGATGACCCTTGATTATCTGGCACTTGTTACAATCATGTATGCACCTATTTCATTTTCCCTTTCTTTACCTTGTATTATGTCATGAGCTGCATGATGCCGCTGCTAGACTTATCTCTGACTCATATGTTGTATTACATCATGATCACCATTGCCATCGCTAGATGGTCTATTCTTGTTATCACTGACACATCCTTTCTTATCTCTGACTCATCATTGATTCCATACCTGCCCTAAACCACCTATGATTCACTATATATAGTTGACAATGTATCTTGTAGCACTTCACTTTAATCTTACTAGGTTTTACCTGAACTATCCTTCACTCCAATCTCTTGTCGTCTGAACCATACTTTAAGATAGAAGCACTCCTTCTGTCTTAGCTTACACTGAATGCTTGACTTATCGTCTCGTGTAGAATCTCGACAGAGGCCCTAACTCTTATCGAGTTGTCTATTGTTAGAACTATCCTAGTTCATAACAGCACTGTGTTTAAATTAGTCTAGGGATGATATCAATCAAATTGATTTGAACTTACCCATGTCTGATTCTGTTGCCCAGATTGCAGTGGTGCTCACTATATTACAATAAGAAACATTAAAAGTGCAGTAATGTAATCAAAACATAACTGCTCACCTGTAGCAGACAACTGCGTGTCCTCAAAACATTGTAAATTATTGCAAATCTTACAATGCTGCCTTCTAAGTTCTGTAAAATGATGATTAACTATAAAATATCAAGTGCATCAGATAACTGAATCAAGTACTGACCTTTCTTTTTGGCTTTCTGAACTATATCAGTGAATTCCTCATCTTCCAGCTGTTCCTGCTCTTTCTTTGCACAAGACTTTGAATGGGATCCTAACCCCTGCATGCAGACAACTGCCCCACATTGATCGCACACCACAAGGTCCAATACCTGTTGTTTTGACTTGGGCATTGGTGTGTTGTAATGCCAATGGGATATGAGTAGAAGATGAATGATGAGCAAGTTGATGGTGGTAGTCTATTATTAAAAGCATATCAGTCATATTAGTAATAACATCAGTCGCATCAAAATGACATTGAAACTCTGCCTAAGGCATCGTAATGAGCTCAAAATCAGGTCAAAATAATTTGGAGGTACATTATAACATGTGACCATTATGATGCTGGTAAAACATCTCCAACATACATAACCACAATAAAGTCTAACACTTGTGTTCAAGATATATTCCACACTGTCACTTGGTGCAAGTGTGAGCAGGAAGCCAAGGTGGCATGCCAGCACTACTTGGTGATACATACAAAATAATAGTTGCTATTTGGAACACCAAATAACTTAGGTACACTAGTACATGAGGAAAACTTTGCTCAGACCTATGCCTCACTTTGCACCACAAATGACTAAATAAGTACCACAATGAATTCTGAGATCAAGAAAAATAGTAATCTCCTGCTCCCTGCAGAACACCAGAGAACCATTAGCTCCATCCATGCTATACACCATTGCCAGTCGATATATGCACACGCTCTTGGAAAGCAATAGAAGTCATGGCACTTGCTGTGTCGGAGTTGGCCATGAGCTTAGCATGAAATTCTCAAACCCCAATGATCAGGCATGGTCCCAGCACATACAACTGCACAATCATAAAAATCTGAAGAAACCCAGAATCAATCTCTGCTTCCATGGAAGACTCATTCTAGAGAAATGATGAACCATGGTCGCATGCAGAGGTAAGTGATGAAAGATTGACATACTGCTAAGAATGTTGGAGAGAAATAAAGAATGAGGGTGGAGCAAGAAACAGCAACAAAGCTGGCATGTCCAATCCTCCAGTGGAAACAGGGACCAATATTCACAGTATGAGCTCACCTTGCAAAGTAAAGCACATGAGTTTTCATCAATACCATGAAACAATCCATCATAATCCCTCCTGGCAAATGTTGTCACAGTTCACAGAAGTGTTTTATTGCAATCCAGACTGCGAGACACAGTGGATAGTATCCAAGTAGTGGAACCCAGAAGTATGTCATCTTGTCCAAGGCTAATCAAGCACTCATAGGTATTGGAGAGAATAAGTTCCTCTGGTATTCATCAATGAGCTCATGGTCATTTTTTTGTCATCCACAATTAAGTGTACCCCCTGAAGCATTCAGTGTCATAATAACAGCGACCACTCCATCGAAAATGTTGACAGCCAGAAAGGTGACAATGAGGAGTACCAGGATCCTTCTGAATCCTTGATACATGGCATATAAGTGAGTGATGACAATGACTTGCAGCATGTTTTGATCAAGTCAATATCACTGAGGTCTCACAGGTGCCAAGCTTACCCCACAGCATTGAAGATGCCACAACACCTATCCAATTTGCTATGATGTACTCAATTCAGCCTGACAAATCCGGTCAGTGATTAGCCTCAGGTAGCACAAACTCCAAACAGACTCACATCTGTAGCAGTATAATATGGCAGTCTTTGTGAACAAAGAAGCTGATAAAGAATTACACTCACTCCTACAGGGTACTGTAGTTAATCGGAGGGGGATAGTAAGCATCTGTGCAGAAGACTCACTGTATCTGTCAGCAAAATGGTCAGAATGTGGACTTTATGCCGCTGGTCAGAAGAAGTGAAGACATTGAATATATTAAGGAGACATACCCAGCATGTCCAAACTGATTGTTTAGCTTTCTGAACTCAAGCAGCAAATAAGATGCCAAGGTAGCATACCTATGATATCTTCAAGTCAGCACAACATGACAACTGTGATAAACAAACCACATACACTGAAATACAGAGCTGTCATTACAGACCAGCATTGCCTCTGGAATTAAGTGCATTTTCATGTATGTTCCTCTGACATGAGACACTACTCACCCAGATCAATTCAACCTATTTACCATTCTTAGCAAAATGGCTACTCCAGTGATAGCATTAACATACCTCCTGTCCAAATGTAAGTGCTAAAACACTTGTAAGATATCAGTAGTCCTTAAATATTATCATGCTTACCCCAATTATACATTACTCCAACTAAGGCAGTGACTGTGAAACTGTAATCAAGGTTAGATTGAAACATCAACAGCTCCACAAACCTATAAAGTAGCTAGAAAGATGATGTGCATTGATGGTCAGCCACCTGGCAGGATCATCTGAGACTATAGTCATATCAGTGGACAATGGGTGTAGGTCAGAGGTGAACTTGGTGGACATGTGGCGATGGTATCCATCCAGTGCTTGAATCACTTAAATAAAATTGGGGGATGATGTCCATTGCTACCTTGATTTACCAAAGGTAAAATCAATCCAGGGGCTAGGTCAATGTAAATGATGGTCATGAAATATTTGTATGGGCAGAAACTTGAACACCATAATTGAAGATAGGGAAATCAGCATGCCAAGGTCAGGCAAAAAATAAGCCATTCCCTAACTCTACAGAGTAGAGAGGGTCCTGTAGTGCTCAAATGTTATTTTCTCTACAAACTTTCATGTCCCATTTTCCCATGAATCTGTCACTTTCTTTTCACAGATCCTCCCGACATGCTGAATAATGATTTGCTCCTAAGTTCTTGTTTCATTTGTTACTCTTGTTATCAACCCTGTCCCTTCTGCACTCTCACTGCACACCCCTGGTCTGCGCAATAATTATCAATTTTCCACATTCAGAATTTGTGATGTGAGTTCAGTGTATAATTCATTCTTTGTTGTCTTCTGAACCTCTCACAGGGCATTTATAGTCAAGGCTCTGTGTTGCGCCCCTTGTGTTGTCGACAAGTGTGACTGCCCACCACATTTGAACTTGCATAATGTTACCGAATACCCCATATACTATGATGCACTCTATTATCCACAATACCACACTTATAGCTTTGAGACCCCTGGCAATTTTTGTGCATGGCTGTTGAAATCACTTGCATCTCATAATCATTCCTGTAACTCCTGTTTCTATGAATTTCGTGGTTGTGTTGCTTTCAATGGTGTCTCTATTGTGGTTATGCATGGCCACGATGCTCTGTCCCTCCATCCAAGTGAGTTTGAGAAGTCTGGTTATCACCACTGTGTGCTTCTGTGCAGGTTGAGTGCATGTGGTTGGGATAATGCAGCATCTGCGCTTGCAAGGAACTATGATAGTCTTCCTGCATAGATTGGTTATGATGAGCAGTTGGTTGTCAATCACCTTTCAGGCCTTCTTGTGTCAGTTCTTTCTAAATCTACCCAGTCCTTTCCAGGCACTAAACTTGAGTGGCATACAAAGGTGAAGCACATGGATGTCATTGTATGACACTATCTTTGTGCCCATTCTGTGTTTGCTGCCTTGCCCCAAACTGCTGTTGATGATACTCTTTCAGCTGTTGTCTTACCTTCTGGTTGTGAATGCTGCTTGGTACCTCTTTTGTCTGCTCCCTTCATCAGTGTGTATGGTGATGAAGTTGCTGAGGCCATTCAGCATCTGCCTCTGGGCTGTTATGCTGCTGACTATCTTGACTGTACTCATGTCCCTTGGTCTGCCCTACCAATTGAAGTTCTTGTCCATTGTCTATGCACTTTATTGGTTGATGTGCTGTCACAATGTATATGCCATTTACCTCCAAACAGGCGACCTATCATAAATACTCGATCTTGTACTAAGACTAGCAATGGTCTGGCTTGTCACACCTGCAAAAGAGCAAAGTATTTGCAGGCTGTGGATGCTGATTCACTGGTGTGGTGTGGTTAGCTCACTTTCCTTTTGCATCTCCTGGTAATTGTCTGGATACTCATTACATTACAGCCATTCTTGAGTTTGAGTATGGAGCCGACATCTTTTGTTGTCTGTCCACAGAACCCTTGTCCCTGGTTGAATGACAGAAGTTACAGTGTCATGAGGACAAAAAGGCGAAGGTTCAAGAGGATGATCATTTGCTAGAAGAGTATTGCCATGCATGGCCAGTCCCCATCCCTTGGACAACTGTGTATTCATGTCTCAATAACTATTATCAGGCTTTGAAGTGGAGTGATCCTCCTGTCTGTGCTGTATGTGCTCACCATCAAAAAAATTCTGAGCTTGTGGTGATTTCTGCTGCTGGCTCACCTGTCTTCCATCTTGAAGCCCTCCATCTCACTGACCAGTTCATCATACAGAAGTGCATTGTTCAAGGTTTGTCCACCACATTCTATTTTGATTGTCCAATCATTGATGGGTTGATGCTTGACTGTGTGGGTATTGTAGATTGCACCAGTGACTGGGTGCATCTGTTCCTGTGTGCATTATGTTATGCGTCTTTGTCCAAGCCTGGCAGTGTACCTCGCTTGGTGTTAGAAAACAACCTGTATCAAAGACAGCTGCCATTTCATTTGGAAGATATATCTTGGGTTGAGGAGAAGATCTGTGCTCTATATTGCATTACAGCTCATGTGGCATGTTTGTTTCAGTCATCTGATCCCATGCAGCCAAAGGTATTTCATGATAATACATGTGTGCATGACATAAATGTTATCTCAACAGCCTCTGTTCTTCCCTGCATGCCATCTGATGTAAATGGTCTCCTCAGCATTATCTTTGTCAGACCTGGCAAATTCAATCTTAATCAGCTTGGCACAGTCTTCTGTGTGCATAAATGAAAGATCTGGTCCTTTCTTCTGTGGCTCAAGCATCACAACCATCTGTACTCGATGATCCCTCTGGACTCTGAAGTGATGTCCCTGTATCCTGAGGACAATATTCTGCTGGGACTATCCAAATGTGTGATCAAAGACCATGAACTCAATGCACACATGGTTTTTGAGGAAGAAACTGCTGGGTTTTCCACTCATCCTGCTGAGTTGATGCATGATGATCCCAATCATGCTGAAAGCTCTGGTGCACAGACTGAACATGTCATTATGTTGGAGAAAATGGGTGTTTCTGATCCTGAGAGTGACAAGATTAATGGGCAGATGTTCACTGCTGCTGCCCTCCATAATTTATACTCATGTTCCAGCTCTCATCAAGATCTTGTTATTTGCCAGGGGTCACAAGCAATTACTGAGTACCATAATCCAGATCTGCTGGTCGTAATGTATCCCACTTTGTTTCCTTGTGGCATAGGCAGTTTTGAAGATTCACAGAGACCTACTGCTTTGTCACTCAAGGCTTGAGCCCATTACTACTTGGAGTTGGCTGACCAGTCATTCTGTTACCATCACTCTTACCTGTTTGAGGCATTGAACATGGTCCAATGCCAGGCAGCGCATTTGCAGACCTTCTTCACAGTTCACAAATCAAACTTTGATGATGTTGCTCGCAAACTCACTCAGGTCTCTGCAACAGTGTTGGACAATCTCGCATATCAATTGGAGCAAGAACACAACTATTCACAGTTTAGCAGTGAGGAGCAATTAGCCTTGAAGTTGCTAAGGCAGGTTAACACCATGTCTGCTCGAATACCAGGTTTGCAGGCTTCCAAAATCTATATGCATAATGAAATTTGTAGTTACTTCAGTTATTTTGGTCTGCCTCACTTGTTTTTCACATTCAACCCAAGCACTGTTCACAGTCCCATCTTTCAGGTGATGTTTGGCAACCAGACTGTAGATTTGTCTGCGTGTTTTCCTCACCTGGTCTTCACTCATGAATGTGTTCTCCAGCTGGCCCAGGACCCTGTTGCAGGAGCAGATTTTTTTGAGTTTTAATGGAGGTGTTGCTTCGGGCATCTTCTAGGATGGGACTTTAAAAGCAATCGCTTGAATCCCTCAGGTGGTATTTTCGGACATTTGCAAGCATTTTATGGTTCCTCTGAATACATGGAGCACAGCTCTCTTCATGGTCACTACTTGCTTTGGCTTGTTGGTGGAGCTAATCAGTCTGAAATTCATCTGATGTTGCATGATGAAGCTTATCAGAAGTGGTTCTTTGCATTCTTGGACAACATTATCCACCATTATCTGCCTGATGTAGAAGTTGAGATCAATCGCAAGTTTGACCCTCATGTTGAGCGACTGCCCCTGCTTCCATCAATTAAGGACATGGACTGTGGTGAAGCTTCTCTTTGCTATTAATGAGGATTGGTCCTCTGTGTTTGCTACCCAGGTCAAACAGTGTGGCGAATCTTTGCAATGATACAGCTGTTGCCCAGTTTGTCACAAGTATGGTAATGATGATAAGTGTCAATTCCTCTTTCCACACAAGGTCATTGAGTTGTCCCATTTTGAGCTGGAGATGAATTCAGTTGTTTTCATGTGCAAAGATCCATATGTAAATTATTTCAATCCTTATATCCTTGTTTTCTGTCAGCACAATCACAATATTAAGTGTATTCTATCAGGAAAAGGCACAAAGGCAGCCATGTTCTACATTTCCAATTACATCACAAAGATGGATTCCAAAACCTATGAGATGTTGTCCCTGTTGTCTCAGGCAGTCACTCGTGTTCCTATGCATGAGCTTCAGACAAGCCTCACCAATGACACTAAGCACATGTTACACAAGTGCCTTTCTCAATTCAATGGTCAGCAGCAAATACATGCCCAGCAGGCAGCACAGTACCTCCAAGGACTTGGTGATGGCATCCTGTCCCACAAGACCATACCCATGATGTCTTCTCTGTTGATTTCTTATGTGAAGAGTACCATTGTAGGTGAATCGCAGGTGGATGTTCCCGAGGACCAGGACTCTGATTCTGAAGACTGTGAATATGATGTGACACACGAGCAGACATGCATTTGCATTGTGATGGACAAGGATGGTAGGATTTTTGAATCAAACCAGATACATCATTATATATATTGGGCAGAGTCTTTAGTGAATATGTGTTTCTACAATTTCTGTTGGTGCATTTGGATCCAGTCCAAAGCCAAAAGCAAACACTTGAAGAACACTCATGAGTCATGCCTTGGCATCTTTCAGAGACACCCACTAAACAGTGACCACCTGCTTTGTACCACCCATGAATTGTTAGAGCATACTAATGAGGAATGTGGAGAGGGCAGTCATGAGTTGGTCCCAAGAGTGGTCAGCATGTCAATCCCTTGGTCAAACAACAGCAAGTTGTGGGCTCTCTTCATGCTCACACACTTCAAGCCATTCAGCAATACTAACGCCCTCATTCCAGATGGCACTATGGATGAACATCTATATGAGAAGCCCTCATATCATTCATCACTCCCCTATATGCAGCCTTCATTAGTTTCAGCTACAAAACCATCAACCACTTTTCCCACACTCAACCTGCTCCGGACATGCATTCCCACGCTCTGCAGACCTGCACATTCACTCCCGCACTGTGTGCATACCTGTGGTCAATTTCCCATGCCTTCGGATTACCTTACAGATGTCCTGTGTCAGTCCATTGTCCATCCTACCTCATTGGTACATATTTTGCCTTGCCTCGTGTGTTGTAACAGGTGTTGCAACAAGTGTTGCAGTCTTATTACATGTCTTTACATATTCCTACTGCCTGTCTGTCCTGTCCCTTCTGTTTCCAAGAGGGTTTAGCTAGTATAAAGTGCCTAGAGTGACTACTTTGTATTTACTTCCCTTCTACAGTATTTCCTTCCCTTAGGTTTTACTTAGGAGCAGTCACCATTAGTGCTGCTCTTTAGCCCCTATTGGTTACCTTATACCTGGACAACTTACCTTGACTTTCCTTACCCGTACAATCAATACCCTTGCCCTCACTTGCTACCTGTGCCATTCCTTAAGACTTCCCTACCCCTTACCCTAGCATCTTGCACTTCCACATCAACCGCTCATTGACTGCACTTCTGCATTCCCATGCTCTACATACCTGTGCTTTGCACACTTTCAGGTCTTTAGTATCATTGGCCATTCTCAGTAGCAATTCCCTTTAGGGTCAAATGTTCTTGCTTGCAAGTGTAGCAGCTAGGCAGAGCATCGACCTTACAACAATATTTTTGCTTAGGCACTTTATCAAGTGACTAGCCATTGTTGTGTTTGCACAACAGTGTGATGCAGGTCAATATGCACCCATTTTCAGCCCCAAAGGAGACTGAGAGTGTCGCAACCTTGACTGATACTTTGGATCCAGCTGCCATGATAATGAAGATAGGGAATGAATATCAGCTTAATGAGAAGCAGTGGGTGGCATACCATATAATAGCAGAGCACTTTGTGCACAGATTTGTTGAAAACGAGATGATCCTGCACCAGCATTGACTATGTTGATGACAGGGCCTGGAGGTAGCGGCAAAACCCATGTTGTGAAAGCTGTTCGAGCAGTCATGGTGTACTATAGCTATGGCCACATCATTTGTTTCTTGGCACCAACAGGCTCAGCAGCAGCACTTATTGATGGCATGACGGTGCACAAGGGACTTGGCATCAAAATAAAGTCTAATGCCAAAGGGAAAGGTAACCATGAGCCTGGTGAAAGTAACCAAGACTATTCTGTCATTGTCAGTGTTCAAAGCAAGACACAGCTGTGGGACGAATGGTGCCACATGGAGTATTTGCTGATTGATGAAACTTCCTTGCTGAGCCTCTAACTCCTGGCAGAGATCGATCATGCATTACAGTACATGAAGGAGAGGCTGGATCTGTGGTTTGGTGGTATTGTCGTCATTTTCTCTGGAGATTTTTATCAATATCCACCTGTAGGGGGGAGCACACTGTATACACCTATCTCTTATTATGCTAGTCAGACTGATGACAAGATTCAAAAGTGCTTGGGTCACCTCACATGGAAAACAGTAGATACAGTTGTTAGCCTCAATAAGCAACAGCATATGAAATCCAATACTGACTTTGGCAAGGCTGTTCATAGGCTGAGAGTACGGCAGTGCACCTTTGAAGATGTGGATCTGTTTAATTCTCAACTGATAAAATCAGTCAGCAACCCAGATGGTGTTGACATGGGTGATAGGTCTAACCATTCAGCTGCTGCTATCATATCCACTAATGCACTTCAAGAGGTATTGAACACAAAAAAGGCTGAGGTGTCCTGTGCCCCTGAGTGTTTGGTTCATGCAAATGCTTTGGACAAATGTTTGCATGAGACTCTTGGTATCAAGGATCATTTATATCTACTTCAAATGGATTTCAGTTCTGTCAAGGTGTCACACTCATTACCCAGAGTTATCGCTCTATATGTTGGAATGCCAGTTATCTTGAGGGTGCACAATATATCTACTGACCTTAGCATCACAAATGGTTCACAGGGAATCGTATGCTACATCTCAACAGTGGTTTGTCCTGTTGGGTTGACATATGTGAGATGTGTTATTGTGAAATTCCCTGGATCTAAGGTGCAGCTAAGAGACTTGCCTGGTTCATGTTTCCCAGTTGTTCCTGTCTCTTGGACATTCACGACTCTCTTGAAAGGTGAAAATGGTTTGGAGCAGAAACTTTGTGTCACTCATCTTCAGCTTCCTATCCAGCCTGCCTTCGCTGTGACAGGTTATTCAGCTCAAGGGAAAACCCTACCCAGCATGCTAGTGAACTTACATGAAGGAGGTTTTGGGGCATATGTAGCTGCTTCATGTGCACAATCACATACCAGTCTGTGCATCACTCAAACCATAAGTCTCAACCAGCTAAAAAAACCATTACCTGCTGATCTACTGCATGAAGTCCATCATTTTGAAGCTATCAAGGTCAACACTTATGTCCGGCTTGGTCTGTGTGGTGGAGATCTTGTCCTGGTGCCTGATGCAGAATCAGATATGGCTATTACACCTGGGTCTTACACTGCTAAGTTTTCACTTGATCCAGCTCAGTCTACAAAATGCCAGAGAGTTGACAAGTCTCTAGGTAGTGCCCTCAAGTTGAGTGCCCAGACTGAACATGACTCCACTCATGGATCCAAAAAACATTGACATGAGGGTGACACAGTGAAGGAGCTTACTGAAGATGATGTCTCTTCTTGTCCAGACTGTGGTAATGACTTATTAATGCTTGGATTTGGGTGTACTTGGTCAGAAGCTGACTGGTCATGTGCATATGATGTTGTCTTCATGATGCTGTTCCACTTATATCAAGACACTACACCACATGACAGGTCAGACTGGCATAATCTCAGTGAACTGTCTGATGCCCTTTTGCAGGTGTATGCTAATATAGCTGGGGCAGAGACCATTGAGTCCTCACCTGTTAACTTCAACAATGGATGAGACTTGCTTTGAGACCTCTTGTTCAAGATGGATTCTGTGCAGTTTCCTTATCAAGGGCATGCGGATACATCTATTTTATCTATCTTAGAGGCTGTCATACCTAACAGACTTCAGACTCTTGGTCTGGTCACCTCTGTTGGTTCACACTGTTTGCAGCAATGTGTGCTGACCACACATGTCTATCACTTATGTGATACAGACACATATCCGACTCTTCTACTACCATGTTGGCTGGTCAAGTGGGCATGGCACAAGGGGGTAGCAACAGCAGTTGACGACAATATGGCTGCATCAGACCTCCTAGCACCAGAGATTGGTCTGCCTTTGCATAATCTTCCACCCATTTTGTTCTTTGAGCAGAACACATCATCCAACAGACCTCCACCAGTACACTTCCTGAGTTTACTATTTGTGCACACAAGCCGCAGATGGTCAACTTATTTCTTAAAGGCAGTGGTGTACATTGGGGGTTATCATTTCTGCACATGCTTTGTCACTATGGCCAAGGTGTGGAAGTACAATGATAGAGAAAACAATGGCACACCCCTCCTCCTAGACCAGTACCAGCCATCTGACTTGTGTAATATTCAAACAGTAGATGGTCAATTGCCATGTCATTTCATCTATGTACTGACAGCAACAGCATATACAGCCCTCTAAAGTACTCAATACTACTGCTTGCTGCACAACTGCCCTTTTGACATGTGGTGAAACACATGGCCTTGCAAATTGTTTAGGGGCCAGTCAGTGGGTGTTTCCATGTGATCAGCCTCAGACCTGTCAATGAGTCAATTTATTTTCCCTGCAGTAAAATGTCTCATCCTGACAGCCCAGTTATCTGCAGGTACCCTGTCCCAAACTTTGTCACCCCTAATGTTCCTGATGAGACGAGACATACTAAAGAGATAGAATCTGTCCTTAGGTTCTACTTCACATCCTTCACCTCACTTACCTTCCATGATGTCCTCAAAACACTCTGCTCATCAGCACAAAGCTGCTACTGCTACAGTGGATGCTGAGATGGGCCCTCCTGCAGTACCTTCTGAGGACGAGGTCAAAGTAACTAAATCTCCTCTATATATTTCTCTGCTCAGTTGTGCCCTTTTGCAAGGTGCTTTCACTGAGGATGCTTGCAGCTATGAGAATATCCCTGAGGAAAACAACCCACGCCCCCTGTGCTGTCAAATGGGAGATAAGGCAGAATACTAGGTCAATGGAGTTGGTGAACTTTTGCATATGAGATTCATGGCAAGGCTCAACTACCACAGCCAGTATAGTCGTCTTGGGCCATATTTCAACTTGTTCAACTCTGGGGTGTGTAATATGTCACTGTTAAGGTCGTACTCAAAGGGTAACTAGATCTGAAGGGCTTCAGCCTCAGCTCGTGCGCTGTGCCCCTTACCCAAGTATTGCCCCTTATTTCAGGAAGGCAAGACTAGCGTGTCCGGAAGGTTGGATGAGTAGCGTAACAGATCCAGATGACTTCCGGATGAGGGATAAGTATTGTAAGGCTAATCCGGACGAGTCCAGACTAGAAACTAATAGTAATGGACTGTCAGGGACAGAAGTGGATATGGATAGACTATAGGAATCAATCCTAAGTCTCGGAGGGTGACGAGAGTAGGGATACTCAAGTCCGGAGGATAGGAATGAGTAGAACTAAGATGATATTCGAACTGAGGTACTACAGAAAGTTACAGGAGGTTATATACTATAGGTATCTAACAGAATGATCAATCAGCAGAGTCCAAGGCTATGTACAAAGCATGTGGATAGTCTATTGGTAAGTAGAAACAGATCACAAATCATGAAACGGAAATGAAACATAGGTAGTGGATAAGGGAGCAGGATGGATATACAGATAACCGAAATACCAGAGTTAGGGGGTTACTGAAAGGAGACGAGTGCTGGTTGTGGATTCAGATGAGTTGTGGACTGGACCAGACGAGTGGACAGATTGAATGACGAGATGTTGGAGGGAGATAAGATGTGGATCTGAGATGAGATAAGGGTCAGATCTGAGGTCCAGATATGCAGATATGACAGTCACTCTGCTAACCCCCACTAATGTAATTTGTTGACAGATCAATGTGTCCAACCTGAAAAAAACTAGAGTGCAATTCCAACTTCATTCCCTCACTCCAGAGGATGAAGACAGTGGTGACTATCCACAGGAAGCTCTAGATATGTCTTGCAGGGTGCTCAATACCCTCTCTGCACTGACAACGGCTGTTGAGGACAGGTGTAATGTTGGTCAGTGTCTGACCTGTCTCCATGATCTGTTGTTTAGTAGTTTACAGGTATTCCAGAGACAGAGCAGCCTGCAGTGTCACCCTTTGTGCACAATTATACTCAAGACTTGAGGGATTGCTATGTTCTTGTTGTACAGTCTGAGCCACTGTTCAAAGACTTACCGAAGGAAGGGTCCATGACCACTCCCAGAATTTCTCGTCAAGACATTGGCAGTGAGTACATTTGATTGCTCATTCAACACTGAACTGAACCAACACATATTAGAATCAGGTGTTCTCTTGAGTCCCAGTAAGTGGGTGACCACAAATGTTTATGGTTGCTGACATTGCGCACTTGCCAAGGCAAGGCAAAACAACTCACCCAGGCTTCTGCAGCTGCAAGGAGTTCTCGTGCAGCAAACACTGGTGGTTCTGGAGGTAATGTGCCCCCTTCAACAAGTAAAACGACCAGGGTGTTCATATCTTCCACAGAATTCCTGCGCATCCACAACTTCCATGACCTGGACAACCACTATTCAGGTCTTGGCTTGCTTAAAGAAACAAAAGTGGAGTGTCCAGATGTACGTGATGGGAATGGACTGCTTATCCACTTGAGGGAGTACAGCATTAAGTTGGCCCATGCACAGTTTGTTGAAGTCAAGGTCTATTTGAAATTGTAAGATGCACATACCACACCATTCCTCCAGTACTAACTTAGATGCAGATGGAATATTGGCAAGAGTGACAAGGATGATGCGACCAAATGTGAGAGACTCAGGTCTTGTAATTACCAACTCATCATGTGCCAGATGCAGTTGCTGCCTTCCATGGGATATGCTAAGGCAGAAGTTCTCAAAGGCAAGAGGAAGGCTTCAGAGGAGCTTGCCAGTGCTCTGCAAGCAAAGAAGCTTGCTGTTGCATCTGTCCAAGACAACAGTATGGACAAGCTCTGATCATGGAAATACCATCTTAGTGCCTTCAACATGGCACTGCTAGCAGGCTCATCTGATAACAAAGTGGTCTCATTATCCCCCCAAATTTTTTCATCTTCTTGGTCCAGTTCTTTTTTCAGTATGATATTTGCTAGATCGATGTGTCTATGGTGTGAAATGTCAGGAGATGTATACCCATATCCATAAGGCTATTGTACTCCATGCACAGTGCTGTGTGACACCAACAGGATTTCTGTGCGAAATCTTAGTACTACTGTTGTACAAACTCAACTTGGACCAATGATCCATGCATGATTGCCATAGGTGTAAGCTGGCCTTGGACTGTACTTATGTGACTCAGACTCACTGACTCAGTCATGCTAACTGCTTAACCTCTTACCCTCCATTTGTGTACATGCATTCATAACTGAGTTTTGAGGCCATGAAGTCAAGGTACTGTACATTATTGACAGAGGGCTTCTACAAGAGGACTGATTTTGTAAACAGGTATCACTATTGACCTGAAGACCAGATGTTGTGTTCTGATAACGCTGGAATTTCAAATGGTTAGTAAAATGTTTTTCTAGTTGAGTACTCCCTTAAACTAACAGACTATCATTACTTGGATATCTTAGGAAGACACCTCTGGTGAATCAATCAGGTCAGCTACTAGTATTTGTTCTGTGAGACTGGCAGATCAACAGGTACCACTGGCCCACACAGCTTTCTGTGCTACTTGTGTAACTGCACCAAGGGTATTCTTTGCAGGTAGTATATAATTGACAAAGGATTACCACAAGATGACTTACATCAATCAATTTTGTCAACAGGTATCACTAATGAAACAAGGCCCAGATGTTGTGTTCTGATAATGCTGGAATTTCAAACGGTTGGGAAGATTATTATGTAGGTGAGTACTCCCCTGAACTGATGTACTATCGTGACATCTTAGGTGTGGTTGATCAATTAGGTCAGCTACTAGTGTTTGTTTTGTGAGACCAGCAGTTCGGCAGGTACCACTGGTCCAAATGGCCAGTTGCTCCCTTTACATGTGATACTTGCACGGCTGCACCAAGGGTTTTCTTTGCAGGTGGGGGTCCTTTGCAGAAGTTCAAGTGGAGACTGTGTTCTGGTAATATGATGGACACAGGTAAGTAATCATGTTGGTCCACTGCAATGGCTGAGTCTAACACAAATGCCCTGTGTGTCAGTGGTATGGCTTGCACTGCAGGTCTATTACAGCATGAGTGGTACATCAACTTCAGATCAGGAGAGTGATGCACAGACCTCAAATGTCCTGCATGCTCATCAGTTATGCACTCCTACTGAAGTGGCTTCCTGTAAGCCTACAAATGTGTACTGTCTTCCTGCTAACATGCTCCATTCCAGTTCTGACCATGCCTTTGATGGTGCAAGAGGTCTATGTGTACCTCCCCATGCTGAAGGATGTCCTTGCCTGGCAGAATAGCAGTGACTGGACACAGCCTGTTGGTCAAACATTTGTGTTGCAACACCTCAAAGGCATTGTTCGGCCATTCATTGGTAACCATGTCCCTCCCCTGTGTTCCCTGATGTATGCCTGGGGCATAGTCATCACAGGTTCTTGTGCTATGGAGATGCTAACAGGGCAATACCATGTGACAAATAACCTGAACCTAGTCATACCACAGGGTAGCTTCAATGTACTAGAGGAATTTATTCTCAAGTCTCTGAATTATTGGTGGATGAATGCAGTTACTCAGCCTCATTATGCATTTTGCACAGTAGTGCAGACATATGCAAAGTACCAAAGTGGTGAACTGCACATTACTCTAATGGAGGCAATGACAGATGACATATTTGATGATGTTACAAGTTCACTGACAACAGGGGACATGATTTTCATGACTCCTGGAGGTATCATTGCCTTCTACCCTGATCTTACCTTCAAGGGAATCGTGATGCTCAACAGCACCCTGAAGGAGCACCCAACTGGAACTAGCTATGTGGGCTGTGTGAAGCATGCATGATACAAGGTGTATGACAGCACCCACTTTCTCAAGGAGCCGTGTGGTCATGTCTGCCCAGCCTTTGGCACAACATTGCGGATGGGAGCCCAGGGGGTCTTGTCCTTGAGTGGGACTCAAGGTATTCAGTCAAGTTGACCATGGCATGGTTGCACACCAGCTGGTGGCTGGCTGATCACTGTAACAATGGACTATGTGCTTTGAATCCCATGACCAATGTGAGATAGCCACAATTACCCACACTACCTGTGCCTGCTGATTAAAGGGCCCTGCAAGAGCAAGAAGCTCATATGTGCCATTACTACTATGTGAGTGCCTTCACAGACTATCACACAGAGATCTGCTGACTAGGAATTACACAGGATGGGATGTGCTTGTACACAGGCATACTGTATGCTACATGGCCCCATGCACCCGAGCTTGTGCCCATCTCATTGTGGGATGGACTTAAATGACTGAAACACATCAATAACCTTGAAGTGTTGCACTGGGTCAACTGTCTAGGTGACAACACATTCAACATCAACATGGCATGTGTTCACAAGACATACAATGTTATTGCACTGTCTTTGTCACCTGCTAATGGATACAGGTACACCTTCTTCAAGGAACACCTAGTTCTGTTTGCACCTCCAAATGCTTTGATTGCAAACATTGTTGGTAATGGCCGCATTGGGAATGCAGTGATGGGTAATGTATTAATTGTGAAGCACATCAACAGCAACAAGTATGAGATTGTTGACCTCACCATAGCCGACATGGAGTATATTAATGAGATTCTCAGACAGTGCATATTAATATATGACTAAGAGCCACAGCTGATTTTTATAAAGTAACATTGGGCACGCTGAATTCTGGACTTGATATACAGTGGTGTCATGCTCAGACCTGGCATATATTTCTGTTGTCTGTACTTCTCAGAGGGAGATCATCACACAATTGTGATGAATGAACATGCCAGTCAAATGTTTCTTGCGTCAAACTGTGTCATGTACTACTAGTTAAAGCTACTTACACAGTGAAGTGGATTACATGTAAGCATGGTAATGTTAAGTAGCTGGACATATGTGATTGCCTGGCTACCACTGAACCTGGCCACATGATGAGCAGTCCTATTGTACCACAACCACCTACTCTGGTGGCAGCACCCTACATGTGCTCCTGCAGGTGTTCATGTCATGATCATGAGGTAGCAGTTGCACACTCCATGTATTTTCTGAAGGCACATCTGATCATAAGCCAGATTTGTAGTGATATTCACTTGACAGAGATGCACTTGGTTATTATGTTGGCCATTCAACAACTCCAAAGCGACACTCCCTATGGCACTGTGCCATCTGAATTGCAAGAACGAGTTCTCCAATCGATCAATATCAGTGAAGTGGATTACATGTAAGCATGGTAATGTTAAGTAGCTATCTGCTAACCACATTCTTGAATTAGCCTTCTTCCAGTCTTCCACAGTCCAATGTTGGTCCTTTAAGGCAAAGGCCCCAATAGGCTGCAGAAAGAAGAGGCATTTTCTTCTTGGTTACAGCCATAAGATTGGCTGCCTTAAGGGTGTTTCTGACTGTTTGAGTGGGGATGGGAGTGGGGATAATGGAATTGATGAACTTGGTAGCATGGACAACATTTGAAGCCTTGCCAGATAGACTTTAATGAACAATAACTCTTTTATGCTGTAGAGTGAGCTTGAAAGACTATCCTATTTTATGATTTTCTTTCTCTAGCATGTTCTGGTTTGTGACTATAGCAATAGTAGGCTTGCTAGGACCAGTTTTGGAAGCAATTTGCCTCATAGACAAACTAGAGGAGCAGAGAATAAGGATATTATCCTTTGGAGCAGAGGAGATAGGCTATATGATAATTATGTTAAAGTTCATGATGTTATGTGGGTTCATATATATAAATAATATTAAAATAAGACCAAATATTGATTATTGTACCACTTCTATTAAGAATAATATCTGTGAATGGTTGGATTTTGTGATTTGGATATAAAGTCAAAAAAGTGTCCAAATGAGTCATGTGATTAGAATTACCATATCTTGCCTATATATGGTCTAGTTCCCACGATATATATCTCAGATTATAGCTATGATGCCAAGCCTTTAGACATCTCTATATGCCTTTATATTGTACTCAGGTGCTGGCTTGCTATTATCTAATTACTTGAAAATGCATAAACATTCAGACACTTTTTTGAGCCACTGTATCTATAAATCAAACATGTTGGACTGTGTCACTAACATCAAATGTCCATCATCCAATGGTGAAATGATGTATGCTTCCTCGAGCAACCAGCGCACTCCAATCCTAATTCAAGAATGTGGTTAGCAGATAGCTACTTAACATTACCATGCTTACATGTAATCCACTTCACTGATATTGATTGATTGGAGAACTCGTTCTTGCAATTCAGATGGCACAGTGCCATAGGGAGTGTCGCTTTGGAGTTGTTGAATGGCCAACATAATAACCAAGTGCATCTCTGTCAAGTGAATATCACTACAAATCTGGCTTATGATCAGATGTGCCTTCAGAAAATACATGGAGTGTGCAACTGCTACCTCATGATCATGACATGAACACCTGCAGGAGCACATGTAGGGTGCTGCCACCAGAGTAGGTGGTTGTGGTACAATAGGACTGCTCATCATGTGGCCAGGTTCAGTGGTAGCCAGGCAATCACATATGTCCAAACCACATGAGCAGAGCAGTGGTGGCTCATCAATGGGCAATGTATCTGGCAGGTTCAAGAAGATCAGGGAGGGGCATAATGAAGCTCCTCCAGCAACTTTAGTCACCCATGCTGAGATGCTCATGCGATGGATATCAAGCTGAATATTGAGTAAGTCATCCTTATGCTCCTGGTAGTCTTCCTTCATGGTTGGCATTGACAGCCATGAGGGCTATGAATAAATACTTTCCTGACATGACTCATAACTCAGCTGTGCATTTGTATTTGGGACAGGATCAGAATGATGTGCATGTGATTTCTTGAAACATTTTGAGACAGATTAATGAGACCAATCGAACTACCACACATCTGAGCTCATGCATTGTGTCTACATTGACATTCAGACATTCCCAATGTCTCCAATACTGCTTTCTCTCTCCAACCTGGCTTCATGCAACTTTGTAGCCTCCAAAGCAAGGTGTTCCACCAACTGCACACTTTCTGTGTAGACAGCACTAATGTTCATCTCATATGCAATTGAGTGTATGGTACCTGTGCCCTTTCAGTGATCAATCAAGCTGTCATATCTGCATATCCGGATCTCAGATCCACATCTTATCTCTGATCCTATTCACATCTTATCTCCCTCCAACATCTCGTCATTCAATCTGTCCACTCGTCTAGTCCAGTCCACAATTCATCCAAATCCACAACCAGCGCTTATCTCCTTTCAGTAATCCCCTAGCTCCGGTATTTTGGCTATCTGTATATCCGTCCTGCTCCCTGATCCGTTACCTATGTTTCATTTCCAGTTTCATGATTTGTGATCCGTTCCTACTTACCAATGAACTATCCATATGCTTTGTACATAGTCTTGGACTCTGCTGATTGATCATTCTGTTAGATACCTATAGTATATAACCTCCTGTAACTCTCTGTAGTACCTCAGTTCGAATATCATCTTAGTTCTACTCATTCCTGTCCTCCAGACTTGAGTATTCCTACTCTCGTCACCCTCTGAGACTTAGGATTGATTCCTATAGTCTATCCGTATCTGCCTCTGTCTCCGACAGTCCATTACTGTTAGTTTCTAGTCTGGACTCGTCCAGATTAGCCCTACAATACTTATCCTTCATCCAGAAGTCATCCAGATCCACTACACTACTCATCTGACCTTCCAGACACGTTAGTCTTGCCTTCCTGAAATAAGGGACAATACTTGGGTAAGGGGACACAGTGCACAAGCTGAGGCCAAAGCCCTTTGGATCCAGTTATCCCTTGCATACAACCTTAACACAAGCCCAAACTACGTGGAGATACACATGAGAAAGTTGCAAATCATTGTGGTACAGGTCATCCATGGCAAACAATACATAATTATGGTGACATCTTGCATACACACAGCCATGATCTCTTATGTCCTTTACAGTCATGACTTTGAAATAGCCTCACCAAAAATAAATGCACCTTCTGCATCAAATAGCTCAACTAAGTCTGATATCACATCTGTCATTGTGTCAAGTGTGATGTGACACCCTTGGAGAAGCAAGTTGAAAGATGTTCTGGTGCTCAAGTGAGTGGTTCACATCATGATTAGGAATTGTGACCTTATTCATATTCCTTTGTACTTGAACCCCATGTGGTACCAAGAGGAGCTTCAGTGGTGATAATGACCACCACTACCCTGTAAGAAATCAAAAAAATGGTCGATCATTCAGCTGTGCATTGGTACAGGCAACAGCTTGGTGTCTCACTTTTTTGGGCACTACATGTACTATCTGTCTAGAGACAAGAACAGGGTTGGGGTTGGATATTCTTTATCATGTGCTGCAGATCTCACATCATCTCAGATCAAGAACATGACATGGGTCAGATATGTCACATGAGTTTTCAGACTGTGATTGATTCAGATCAGACATTAACAAAGATAAATGGGTCACAGATAACTACTGTTCTTTGATCATGTGCTGAGGAAGCTCTTGTGGATGTAGATCAAGAACCTGCCAGGTCTCAGATACACTCATGGGGTTTCGGCCAGTTACTAAACCAGTACGGACATGGACAAACTAACAATTGCATACCTGCTGGTGGAAAAACATCATCCTACATTGCAAGTACTCATTAGCCAGTTATATGTACAGTTCCAAGTCAACTGAGATGCAGGCAGGTTCATCAAGGCATGGGGTAAAGAGATTGCCATCCCACAACCTATCTTCCTATTCACATGAGGAACTTTTCACCATGTGACCCAAAAAAGAGTCAGGGACTGGCGCTTGCACTGTTATGATAAAAATAGATGAGATCTACATGAAGCAAACAGATAACTCATGTTCTACCCATGTGTGAGCACATATCTCAATATCTACTATCCCTGCTCCTTGTCCTTGGGCCATCTGTCTCTTCATGAGCACCTTCTTGCTCTCTGCCTCAGTTATTGGACTTTCATATCATAATGTTGCCAACAATCATGAGTGCAAAATCTTCGATCTGCATCATGGAGTTAGTGTGGTAGTGACAGGCATTAGTTTGCATAGCCAGAGACATCCTAGTTGAGGTGTGGGTTTTTGTACCTGCGGGGCCACCTCAGGCAGTACTTTTCGGGACCTATAAAGGGTCTAAGAGACCTGGTTTCTATGTTGTGGGAAACTAGTCTCCAAGACCCACCCTCCCGCCATCTAATTATAGTTCATGCTCTTGTATTCCTTCACAGGCCTCCAGCACCTCCCTGCGCCCCTCTACCATAGCCCTCTCAATATCCTAGTACTACTCAATCCACCATTTAATGCTCTCGCATTTCTGGGCACCTCCCTACCCACCCACTTTGTTTTGTGATAGGCTAAGTACCATGAGGCACCATGCTGCATCCACGACGATTCCATGTGGTCTCAGTATGCGCATAATGTTAAATACAGTTTGAGTCTATGTACTAGCATTCTGACATTCACCCATTCACCACTCCCCAGCAATAATGCGTCGTGCAGACCAAGTGTCAGTGCTAGCCTCCAGCCAGGGGCTTGGGAGGCATTCTGTTAGTCCCTGCAAGTCTCAAGACAAGAGAAAAACTCAAACCTTCATCATTATCCCTGGTGCAGATATCAAATGTCGCAAACTTGCCCTATGCATGGAAGC